AAGCCAGTGCTAGCATGCGGCAGCAGCACTCACTTTGGCACACTGTTCACCGAATGCCTACATGCCTGCGCTTGCACGCGGCCGCCTCGCCCACTTTGGCACACCCCACCACTCGTCTCGTGACCCCATAAGGAACTCCACCGAAGGCTCAGATAACAGCGTTCGCATGCGGCCACCGCACCCATCTAGGCACACCCCCTCGCGCTCCGTGGCCCAATGTGCCAATGTGGGAGCTCCACCGAAGGCTTACATACCAGCGCTCGCATGCGGCCACCGCACCCATTCGGCACACCCCTCACCATCCGTGGCCCCATAAGGGACTCCACCGAAGGCCTACATGCCTGCGCGTGCATGCGGCCACGTCGCAAATTTTGGCACACCCCATCACACGCTTCGTGACCCGACAAGGAAGTCCACCGAAGGCTTACATGTCAGCGCTCGCACGTGGCCACCGCACCCATTTTGGCACGCCCCATCGCACGCTCCGTGGCCCCATGTGGGAACCCCACCGACGGCCCGAGCGCCAGCGCTCGCATGCGGCTCATGCGGCCACCGCGCCCATCTAGGCACAGCCCTCACACGTGTGGTGGACCCACGCGGAACCCCACCGAAAGCCCAGATGCCAGCGTTCGCCAGCGGCCACCACACCCATGTTGCTCCCCCCCCCTCGTTTCGTGGCCCCATGTGGGAGCTCCACCGAAGGCCTAAATGCCAACTCTCGCATTCGCCCGCCGCACCATTTTTGGCACACCTCTCACACGCTCCATGGCCCCATATGGAGCTACCCCGAACGCCCAGATGCCAGCGCTCGCATGCGGCCACCGGAACCACTTTGGCACACCCCTCACACGCTTCGTGGCCCCGTAGGGTGCCCCACCGAAGGCCCAAACGCCAGCGCTCGAATTGCGCCCAGTGCGCCAATTTTGGCACACCCCTCACAAGTTTCGTGGCCACATGCCAGTGCTCGCATGCATCCACCGCGCCCATTCTGGCACACCCCTCACACGTTTCGTGGCCCCATAGGGAGCTCCACTGAATGCGGCGCATACAGCAACGATGCCCACAACTGCATATTGTCGGGTTCCCCGCCAAGCTAATTGACGGAACCTAACCTTCTGGGGGGGGTCCTGAATGGGGCTCCGAGATCATTTGGAACAGTCGTGAGCCTATCGTCGGGGGCCATCGTGGAGCCATCTTTGGCGACCTTGGACGTTATAGCCCCTCGCGGCCCCTGGAACAATTGGCATGGCGACGGACCCAACCATCTTTAGTTGTGAGTGCCGCAATTGTGAGTACAGTCTTAAGTGAAACTCCCTACGGGGCACTGCCCGCATGCGGGTTGTGCCGTTGGGACCTTCGGTGGAGCTCCTTGTGGGGCCACGGAACGTGTGAGAGGCGTGCCGAAACGTGGGTGTCGTTCAAATGCGGGCTGCGCCATTGGGACCGTAGGCGAAGCTCCTTGTGGAGGTTGGCGCCCACATGCGTGCGTCGCCATTGGGGACGTCGGTGGAGCTCCCCAGGGAGCCACGACGCGTGTGAGGGGTGTGCCGAAAATGTTGTGGGGCATACGTGCGGGCGGCGCCATTTGAACTGTATGTGGAACTCCTTATGGGGCCACGAACCGTGAAAGTGGTGTGCGGAAACGGGGTGGCGCTCACACGCGGGTTGCGCCATTGAGACCGAAGGTGGAGCTCCTTGTGGGCCACGGAACGTGTGAGGGGTGTGCCGAAACGGGGTGGCGCCCACATGCGGGTGGCGCCACATGGGGCCGCGAAGCGTGTGAGGGGTGTGCCAAAATGGGGGGGTGGCGCCCACATGCGGGCGGCGCCAATGGGACCTTAGGCGGAACTCCCACTGTGGCCACGAAACGTGTAATGGGCGGGCCGACAGGGAGGTGTCGCCCACATGCGGGCGGCGCCACTGTGACCCTGGGTGGATCTCCCTACGTGGCCACGGCGCGTGAGAGGGACGTGCGAAACGCGAATCATAGCGATGCTGGTGATGATGATGGTCACGATGATGATGCTGATCATGATGCTGCTGCTGGTGATGAGGCTGATGATGCTGACGATGATGCTGCTGCTGATGATGATGATGATGATGATTGTGATGATGACGATGACGATGAGGATGATGACGATGACGACGATGATGGTGTTGATGTTGAGGATGATGTTGATGATGCTGATGATGCTGATGATGATGCGTATGATGATGGTGGTGATAAGGATGGTGTCGATGCCGATGACGATGATGATGAACGTGGCGACGATGCTGATACTGATGGTGAGGGCGATACTTATGATGATGACGGCGACGATGATGATGATGGTCATCATGCTGATGGTGTTGATGGTGGTGATGATGATGTTGATGCTGATAATGGCGATGATGATTATGATGCGACTTATGATGCTGATGATGGTGACGATGCTGATGATGTTGCCGATGGCTATGCTAGTGTCGATGATGTTGATGTTGATGCTGATGATGATGGGCGGATGCCGATGATGGTGATGATGAGGCTGGTGTCGATGATGCTGCTGATAATGGTGATGTTGATGCTGACGATGCTGGTACTCATAAAGCTGAGGATGATGCTGATACAGATGGTGATGATGCTGACGACCATGATGATACCGATGAGGATTATTGGGATGATGCTGATTATGATGCTGATGCTGATAATGATGCTGCTGGTGATGATGATTCTGATGCTGAGTATGGTGCTGATGCTGTTGATGCTGATGATGATGATCGTCATCATGATGATCATGCTGATGATGATTATGATGATGCTGGTGAGGTTGATGATGCTGACGATGATAATGCTGATGATTATGCTGATGCTGATACTAATGGTGATTATACTGGTGATGGTGGTGGTGATGATGATGATGTTGATGATGTTGCTGCTGATGATGAGGATCATGATGCTGATGATGATGGCGATGCTGATGACGATGCTGATTATGATCATTATGGTGAATATGATGATGACCACGATGATGGTGACGACGATGACGATGACGATGACGATGATGCTGATACTGATGCTGATACTGGTGATGCTGGTGATGCTGGTGATGATGATGGTGGTGGTGATGATGATGATGGCGATGCCGATTGCTACGATGATGATGGTTTTGCTGATGATGCTGATAATGATGCTGCTGGTGATGATGATTCTGATGCTGAGTATGGTGCTGATGCTGTTGATGCTGATGATGATGATCGTCATCATGATGATCATGCTGATGATGATTATGATGATGCTGGTGAGGTTGATGATGCTGACGATGATGATGCTGATGATTATGCTGATGCTGATACTAATGGTGATTATACTGGTGATGGTGGTGGTGATGATGATGATGTTGATGATGTTGCTGCTGATGATGAGGATCATGATGCTGATGATGATGGCGATGCTGATGACGATGCTGATTATGATCATTATGGTGAATCTGATGATGACCACGATGATGGCGACGACGATGACGATGACGATGACGATGATGCTGATACTGATGCTGATACTGGTGATGCTGGTGATGATGATGGTGGTGGTGGTGATGATGATGATGGCGATGCCGATTGCTACGATGATGATGGTTTTGCTGATGATGATGATGATGATGATGCTGATGATGATGATGATGATGATGATGATGATGATGGTGGTGGCGATGCTGATGATGATCCTGATGATACTTATGATGATGCTGATGATGATGATGATGATGATGACGATGATGATGACAATGGTGGTGACGGTGACGATGATGAGTTCACGCGGGAGGGGGCAGCGTGAGGAGTATGAAGACGAGGAGAGGAGACGAGGAGGGACGCGGGGCGCTGTGTCTTCAAAACGAGGACCCAATACCACAGGTTGGTCGGGGAAAACCTCAGGGATTGGAAGGGCACCCCTCCCCCTCCCCGAAGAGAAGATGGTGTTGGAAGATGACAGAAGAAATACATCGCTAGACCGCCTTCACCCGAAGGATTGGTGGGATTCAGAGGACAGGCGTCACTTCAAGGAATGTGCTTTGACTTGTAATCCCCACACGCGCAAGCTCTGGGGCGATGGGCCGTGCTGCCATGACCGCACCCACGGGTCCATAGTCGTCTAGACCTCCTCAAGCATCCTTCCAGGAGTGGGTATGGACCTCAGCTACTTCGTGGCAGCTACAGAAAGCCGCCACTGGAGGTACGGCTGCGAGCAGAAGCCCGTGACCGTGCCCTCCTTGTCCATGATGCCCGGTCTGTGGGCCAAAGCTGGTTCGAAAAAGGCGACAGCCTACCGAGCTCGCACTAGTTAGTGCCTCCACTGCTTCATCCGTTATACTTGCACCTTCCATGTCTTGGGAAAGAAGGGTTCGCATTCCAGCTTCATGGGTACCCGCTCTCGCACAGACATCCAATCGGCCAAGGATCCCGCAAGCACAGTAGCTCGTCAACAAATCCGAGCAGATCCATTGGCCCAAGGCAAGGTTTGCTGCCCAGGCTCCCGACCTGTCACCCTCCTATTCCTCCACTTCTGGTTAGTAGGAGGAGGGGGAGGAGGAGGAGGAGGAGGAGGAGGAGGAAAAGAGACGAGAAGGAGGTTGGAGGGCCCCAAGTGATTATAATGCCTCCCTCTCCTCTTCCTCTCCCCGTTCCTCCTCATCTATCCTCACTCTGCCTGGTTCCGATTTGGCGGCGGCCGTCCCGGGCCAAGCAAGCACATCCTCGCCGTCCCCTTCGCCCCCCTGCGCCCTGCACGTGGCACCGCTCCCCTGGGAACGCACACGATGTCCCACCCTCCGCGAGCCCCGCGCTCGGCGCGCAGTGCCGCCAGGCTGCGGGTGCGATACGACCACCGTTGCGGAGAGTGTTCGGGCCTAGCTCAGACCAGGTGGGCGGGGCCGTGGCCTCGAGACTATGGCTTGTCTGGATGCATGCCATGCGAGACACACACAAATAATGGGGTGCCATGCGAGTCACGGGGAGAGGAGGAGGAGGACGGTGCCGCCAGGAGGGTCTTCCTGGAGCTCGTGGCCAAGGGCGTGCCCCACAACGAGGCCGCGGCGCAGGCGCTGCACATCGTCTCGTGCAGGTGAGCGTTCCGGCGGCCCGCGGCAGGCCGAGCCGCCCCTCGCTTGCTCGAGGCCCGGGTTCTGGGCTCCTCGTGGCCGGTGTGGGCGGAGGGAGGTGGAGGGAGCGGGGGAGGGGGGGTCAGAGGAGGACGAGGTGCCCAGCTCGTTGTCCCTCGCTTCGTTTTCGCCCGCTGGGGCCTCCTGGGAGGCCCTCGTCGCCACCGCTGGATTCGCGTTGAAATTCAATTCTGGTCAGCACGCACCCCGGGAGAGTTACAGGGAGTAGCGGTTTGGGACCTTTTGAATTCCCCAGGGAGGAGGTCCCTTGCTTGCTCCCGCTGGTAAGTATTGCCTCTGCCCCCACGGCCTGACCGCTGGAAGTCCCTGGAGGGCCAAGGACCTTCCCAGAGGGGACCCATGGGCACCCCGAGTCCCGCAGAGGGCAGACAGACTAAAACCCAGCGTGGTAAAACAACCTTCTCCCTTGATCCGTGAGTCCCGAGGGCAATATCCAGAGTCAACCCGCATAGTAAGGATGATCGTTATCCCAAGGATACCCTTGCATCCTTGCCTCTTCGGTCATGTTCGGTATATCCTCAACCATTTTCGATGGCCAGCCCCGCTCGAAGAGCCTCAGCATGGGCGTCCAAGGCCATCGCATCCTGATCACGCATCCTCGCTGTATTGGTTGACTGTAGCAGCTCCCGCTCTTCCTCCAGCTCTCTTCGGCGTTGTCCATGAATCGCGCCTGGCGCAGGCGTGGCGGGGCGCCCCATAAGCGGACACCTCGGCCTCGCGGCCCGCGTGCCGATTCGGCACACTGCGCTGCAGGCTGCGGCCAATCCCGTGACAGAAAGCCGCTGCAGGTGTCCAGCCGGAGGGGACCCCCATGTGTCGGCGGCCCAGGGAAAGCGTTGCCTTCCGAGGTTGCCGGTGGCTCAAAGATGAGGTCCTGCGGGATGGGGTCCTGAGGACGAGGTGCCTGAAGCAACGTAAATCCACCCCTGGATCCCTTGCTATCCTTCGGTCCCCAGGCGGAGACCGGCGCAGAACTGGCGGAGGCCCACGGAGGCAAGGTCGGGGCGTCTCCGCCTGCGAAGGACGGCGGAAGGTTGGCGGAAGATGGCGGGAACTGAAGGACTCGGCTGCGCGCAGAGGAGGTTTCGTTCCTTATTTACCGTTCCTGATGGCATCAGCTTGACTACATCGAGGGGGGGAGCAGGCCTGGCTCGGCCCAGTAGCCCCCCCCCCCGTCGCTCTGGGGCGGTGAGCGCGCGCCCTCGCCGCCGCCGCCGCCTCGGCCACGCGCGGAGGGGAGTAGAGGGAAGAGGGAGGGCTTCACTCTGAGAAGCACCCCTGCCTCTTAGAAGGCGTGGGCCTTGTGTGTAGATATAGGGCCGGCGCCTTCTAAGAAGCAGCCTCTTGCTAAGAAGGCTTCCCGACTCCACCATCCCCCCTTGTGCGCTCCGCCTGAGGATGAGCCCTCCCTCCTCAGCAGATGCCGATGCTGTTAGATTCGGGGTTTCCTGACTGGGACGTGCTGCTTCCGACGCTTCCGAGATGCCCAGGGTCTGGGCCGGACCTTTCGAGGGCATTTTCATTTTGAGTGTCTGAGGAGACGTGACCTGAGCAATCGCATGAAGCATCGAGCCGTCACATTCGCAGGCGTGCTAGAAATGGAGAGTCGGACCTGGTCCTTGTTTTCTGAAATGGTTCACTGCCCAGTCCATGCCAAGCACCTTACATGTCAATGTTGTACCCATACGCCTGGAGAGTTCAGCCTTGGTGGGCTTCGCGGTATTGCTCTGTGTGGCCGTCTTGCCTTCCGATCAATTCGGCATCCACGGCCGTCTGTGGCGATCGCCAGTGAGACAAGGCGTACGATGAGAACCACAGCCTCCGCGCAAGCGCACGGCTGCACTGTCCAAAATGATTCGTTGCGTTTGCTTCTGCAGCATCGGGCAGCACGAGACAATGGCACTGGGCAGGGCTGGAGCGAAACGGTGCTTTGCGATTTCGTGGGCCGTTCTCGTTTTGATGTCGCTTCGCAGCAAAACCAGAATGAAGACAGATCGAAGGTCAACGAAAACAACGCGAACACGAGAAACACAAAACTATTTAGCTCGAGCCCTGCGTGCGTGGCACTGATAACGACTGGGGCACTGCAGAGGTGGCGAAAAGAAGGAGACCTTTGGTCTGATGTGCTGCGCCCTCTGCCGCCAGCCCCTGTTGGGGCAGTTTGGGTCGGGAGCCTTGAGACGTGGGCCGATGCAAACGGCGGTCAGCCAGAGCGCCCGATCTTGCAGGGTCCTGCTGGGACAGGGTCGCGTTGACCCAGGTTTGGGTGCAGGATCCTGCAGGATTTTGCAGGATCCTTCGCATTGACCCGGGCTTAGGTGCAGGATCTGGCAGGATCCTACAAGGCCTGATTGACCCGGGTCTGGATTGACCAGGGTCAGAAGATCCCCGGTTGGGTGCCATCTTGGGCCTTCATGGGGCCTCGCGGGGAGATCCCCCCCGGGGTCATCCAATATACACAGCTCCCCTTCTTCTGATTGCGCATAACACGATGGGGTCCTTGGGGGTTCAGGTCCTGTATGACACCCGTCAACGGATAAAAGAAAACAGCGAATCAGAGCTGGCGCAATCGCACCTAGCTTGCATCCCCCTGTCTCCCACTCTCTGCCCCATTACCTCTTGCCCCTTCCCTCCTTCACCCTCTCCCCTCGCCTCGCGACCCCCGCCTCCCCTCAAACAACGAAAAACGCGCCCTCCGCCTTCTCTGCCCTGCCAGCCCCCTCCCTGCCGTCCCCTGCAATCCCTCCCACTCGCTCGCGGGAGCCCTGGGGCCACATTTCTGACCAGGCACGGTCGCAGTCGGGCATCGGCCGGCGGACGAGAGTTCATGCGGACGGCTCCTGGCGCGCAGGGCGGACGCTCAGTCTTGCTTCAGCTGCGCGCGGGTGCCGCCAGCCCCCCCTAATTATGGGTAGTCAGCCGGTCCCTTCCGACCCTTTCTGGCTGACGTGGGGCCGACCCTCCGCCGACCCGGGTTGCGGCGGCTATTGCTTCCCGATTGGCCCACGGCTGACCATGTCGTTTGGCTGACCCCATGGAGCGCTGACCCGGTTTGGCCAGTCTTCGAAGCGCGTCGGCGGGCAAGTCGGAGGCATGGAGGAGAGGGTCCGCGTTGGTGGGATGGGATGGCGGCTGCTTCAGCAGGGCACAAGAACTAACGCGGGCCCGTGGAGGACGGGGGGTCTTGCAGGTTGCTCGTCATTCTCAGGCCCCGGGCCCTGGGAGCGTCACACACAGTTCGGGGTGCAGCCCGGTCCCGGGGGAGGCTCTACAGGGACCAGGACACGATATCCCCACGCCAAGTGTCGGACGCCTGTCGGAGAGCGTCAGCAGTCGCCGCCGTGCCGGCACCGGTTCGTCTGGCCCTGGTGGGATGGCGAGGAGGCAGGAGGAGGAGGAGGAGGAGGAGGATCAGAAGGGACATGTAGACCAGACACGAGTAAACGCACATTCCCATTTACATATGGTAACATTTGGGAGACGGAGGGGACATGACAATCCAGAAGATCCGGAATCGTGTTGTAGATGTTGAAAGATGTGTCTATTTGTTTTTGTGCCCCTGGCCCCCTTGAGAGGATTCAGGAACTGGAGCAGGAAGTGGAGGAGGAAGCAGCAGGAGGCGGAGGAGGAAGAGGGCCACGAGGCCAGCCCCGCCGCCGCCGCGCGTGATGCCCCGCAGCCTGTCCGGCTCTGCCCCCGCCCTTCCCTGGCCGCCCGAGCGTCGATGGTCACCGATTGGCTCCTGCGGCGGGGAGTTCGGTAGCAAATCCCAGTGGCCACATGTGAACCCGACCCCCACCCCCCACGATTTCTAAGGGGGGGTGGGGGTTCTCTTCGTTCGGGAGCTCCCGAGCGGAGCGAGCCCCCATCCCACCCCTCAGCAACCGTGGGGGGTGGGGGTAGGGCTCACATGTGGCCACCTAAAATCGTGGGAGCCTGGTATACCCATCGCAGTTCCGTCCGTACCGTCGACTGGCGTAGATTTGCGTCTGGTAATCCATGGGATTGCGCCGGTTTAGCGTCAATCAGCGTCGATGTCGCGTCGACCGGCGTCGCTTGGCAAGAGCCAACACGATGGTCGATGGTATGGGAGGCTTCCATGAGGAGGGAGGGGACGGGTCGTCAGAGGAAGAAGAGGTGCCTGTACAGCTAATCTTGTCTCGGTTTCTCCTTTCTGGAGCGTCCGGGGAGGCCCGCGTGGCCACTGCTGGATCTGCGTCGAAATTCTGGTCAGAACGCACCCTTGGAGAGGTCCGTGCAGTAGCAGTATCGGTACCTTTTGGTTCCCCCAGGGGGGACGGGTCGTGCTATTTCTGCGGGTGTTTCTGCGCTTTGATCACAGGCCTGCTCAGGTCAGCACGTGGTCTGCTCCAGAGACTGAGTCCGCGCCGCGCCCTCCATTGGAAGCGCTCTGGGGGCGGTCGCCAGCGCCGCCCACGCCTTCAGGAATTGGCGGGGGACCCCGACATCCGACGTGAAAGAAATCGTGGCGTCGCCAAGCAATATACGGCTGATCCTGTGGCCGCATGTGCTTCTGCGGGGAAGTCGTTGAGCCCGGGCCGATCTGCGAGGGTCCGGGGGGTGCGCACGGGGCAACGCAGGCGGCCGTCGCGATCGGTCCTCGACGCCTGGACGTCAGGGCATGCCTCCTCCAAGCCCGCTCAAACCCGACCCCTGGGCCACTGTTCCCACCCTTTCTTCCTCTCGCTCAGGCGAACAACCGCCTGAATTTCCGCCCCTAGTTTCGGCCACGCTCGCAAAATATATGTTCTGCGACTGGCGACCGTGGTCGTTGGTGGATGTCATCGGTTGCTTCTCCTTCACTACCGCTGCTGCGTGGAACAAAAAAATGTCCGACCCGCGCCCAGCCGTGGCGACCAGGCCCCCGCACCCCTTTCCGATGCCTATCGGGCAAATTCGGCCGCCGTGCCCAGGGCTGGCGGGCCCAGGGGGGGGGGGGGGGGAGCGGCCTTAGGACAAAAACGGGAACCCTGCCAGGCAGCGGACACACCGAAAGCGCTGCCACTCAAGACCGAACGCCCTACCACTCTACACGCGGAAGCCCTGCCCGACCAGAAACCCTTTAGGGAAAAACCAGAAACCCTACCAACCTAACACGCCACACCCATCCCATCCCAGCGATCTGGTGCCTTGGCTTGCTCCTTAAGGTGCCCCAAGCGGTTCCGACCCTTTCCCCAGATCCTGCATTCCACCCTGCCCTGCTTTGCTGACGGTCTGGGGCCCAGTGGGGGCCCAGTCGAGAGCTGCGACACAGACAGACAGACAGAGAAGCCAGGCGCCCGGACAGCGCATCGGCAACAGAGCGTTGACTACCGATTGACCAGCCCCCGCACGCACCAATCAAACGTGCGTCGTGCGAGCGAGCGGCGGGCGACACATCGACGTCGTGAGCATAAGGAACTTACTCGAGAGCTGCGACGTTGCTCAAAATTCAGGAGGTCTGGGGCGTGGGCACGGGCGGCGGAGGCAGGGAGGCGGCGCAGCGGGCGGCAGCAGCAGGAGCGAGGGGGCGGCACGGGCCCGCGCCGCTCGTTGCGGGGACGTTCCCGCGTGCTGCCGGCGGCGCCGTTGGCCTCGGTCGAGGGGGCGGGGAGGGGGGCGGTCGGGAGGGGGTCAGAGGACAAAAAGGGCACCCATGCCGCTACCGTTCCCTCGTTTCCCCCTACGTGGAGCCTCCTGGGATGCCCTCCTCGCCACGGCGGGATTCGCCTCGGGATCCTCATCAGAACGCACCCCGAGAGAGGTCCTGGGAGTAGCGGCGTCGGTGCCTTTTGTTTTCCCCAGCGGTCGGGAGGGGGGCAGCACCGTCAGGCTCATCCTCATCCCCTGTCCTGGAGAAAGCTTCGGCCCCGCGGTCCGACTTGCCCTCCCAGACGTTGGGGCAGGTGCCCTCTCCGTCGGGTGTCGCGGCGTCGATTCCAGCCCCACCTTGAGGGTAGAGAGCGGGCTGGTGTAAAGGAGGCCTGGCCCACTCGGGACCGGAATACTTTCGTCAAGCGATGCTGAGAGGAGGAGGAGGAGGAGGAGGAGGAGGAGGAGGAGGAGGAGGAGGACGGCCGTTGCGAAATGTTTAGGTACGCCAGCCTCGAGTTCACGCTCAAGCGCAGAACCAGCTCGCTCAGACAACAGTAGACTTCCACCCAGAGGATGCACATGATGTAAATAATCTAAATCGCTTAAATGCTTGTCGTACTTTCAATCGGCACATCTTCCACTGTGGCTTACCAGCGTCGCCTGCTGTGTCGTTGCGTCTCTTTACCGTCGACGTTGCTGCTAGCCTGGACTGACAATGGTGGGCGGATATCCTGAGATTCGGGGGGTGGGGAACCAAGGTAACTGCAGGCATTGCAGCGCTACCACGGCCTTCAGTTGCACGGGCAGTTCGCTCCCCCTCTGTTCGCTCGTCTTCGGATCGGATGTGTCTGAGGTTAGCTTTCGTTGGGCCCCTCCTCCTCGTAGACCTCCTGGCAGTCAGGCGGTCTACGAGGAGGAGGAGGGGCCCAATCAGGTGCACAGAGTATGCGCCAGCCAGGCTGGCGCATACTCTGTACCCTTTGGGGCCCTTTTCTGTTCCTGTATTTTTGTTGCTTGCCCTCTTTGGCTGCGCCAGCCAGGTCTCATTTGTTTTGCGCTCCGCTGAGTCGGCGTCTTTTCTTGCATCCAGAAAGCGCTCCAGGCTGCAGCCCTACGTTTGCGCAGCTTCAAACATCGGACATTACGGGGACGCCCTCCCGGCACTCTGGCCCCTTGCGCGCGCGCCGCCGTGCGGCCGCAGGGCTGACCCTAGCCCGCGCTGGCAGTCGCTGGGCCATGCTACGGGATGGACTGACCGCGAGAGACGCATCAGCATGGCGCGAGGCTAAAAAGTGCAGCTCGTAGATTGGCTCACCCAGCCGAAAGGAGGACGAGTTCGGATGCCAAGGATGTCACCATTCTCTTGAGCGGTGACTTCAGGAAAGGGCACGAGGTCCAGCAGTACGACACCAACGAAGGACAATCAAGGACGACGTTTGTACGAGAGCAGGCACGGGAGAGGCGCTATACGAAAGCACCATGCGAGCACAGATCAGCATATGCAGTACATCGTCGTGGAGGTCTCACTGCATCAGCATAGCCTCGAACACGACATCTACGAGGACGACAGCAACGGCAGCTACGAGTACGACAGCTACGGCAGTGACGAATTCGGCTACAATTGCGACTTGCCTGGTGTCACGCCTGGTTTGCTTGTACCAGGCGCATGGCCACCAGCAGCGCTTCAAGAACACGCTGGGCCACAAGAGCAAACCAAGCCACAAGACGGCGTTGGGCCACCAGACAACATTGGGCCACCAGAGCACACTGGGCTACGAGAGGCGCTGGGCTACAAGAGCGCGCTGGGCCACGAGACGGCGCTGGGCTGCGAGAAAGCGCTGGGCCATTAGATCACGCCAGGACACGAGGAGGCGCTTGGCTACGAGAAGGTGCTGGGCCACGAAAACAAGCTAAGCACGACGAGCGCTGGGCCCAGAACAAGCTAGGCAACCAGAAAACGCTGGGCCACCAGACCACGCTGAGCCACGAGAAGGCGCTGAGCCACCAGAGTACGGCGGGCCACCCGAACACGCTGGACCACGGGAAGGCGCTGGGCCACCAGAACACGCTGGGCCACGAGAACACGTCGAGCTACGTGATGGCGCTGGGCTGCCGAAATCATCCTGACAACGAGAACGCGCTGTGCCACGAAAACGCACTGGGCTACGAGACGGAGCTGCGCCACCAGGGCGCGCCGGGCCACGGGGACATGCTGGACCGTAAGAAGGCGTTGAGCTACCAGAAAACGATGAACTGCAGCTGCGCGACAGGGCTAGGCTTAGAGAACACGCTGGACCGCGAGAGGGCGCTGGGCGAACGGAACTCGCTGCGCCATCAAGACACGCCAGGCCACGATGCGGCGCTGAGCCGCCCGGTCACGCTGGGCCACTGGAGCGGAGCGCGTTTGGCTACGAGCAGGCGCTGTCCCACAAGAAAACACTGGGCCACGACATCGCGCTGGCCTACGAGAAGGTGCTGGGTTACCAGGACAAGCGGGGCCAAGAGGGCTACAAGACGGAGCTGCGCCACCAGAGCGCGCGAGGCCACGGGGGCATGCTGTGCCACGAAAAGGCGCAAGGCTACCAGAACACGATGGGCTACGAGAGAGCGCGCTGATTCGAGAACACGCGAGAAGGCGTTGGGCTACCAGAACACGCTGCGTCACCAGGGCGCGCAAGGCCACGATTCGGCGCCTGGCTACAAGACCACGCTGGGCCACCAGAACCCGCTGGGCCACGAGGAGGCCCTGGGCCGCCAGGAAAAGCTCAACCACCATAGTGCGCCGGGCTACGAGAAGGTGCTGCGCCACGAGAACACGCTGGGCAACGAGGTGGATCTGCGCCGCCATTGTACGCCGAGTCACGACTGGACTATGAGAAGGCGGTGCGCTACCAGAACACGATGCGCTACGAGAGCGCACTGGGCTTAGAAGGCACGTTGGGCCAACGCATCGAGCTGGGACGAGAGGAGGCCCTGGGCTACCAGAACACGTTGCGTCACCAGGACACGGCGGGCCCGATAAACGAATCCAGCCGTTGATGCGGGCCTGAAGCGGCAAGTCCACATCTGGATCGGCAAACTAAGCCCCGACCTGCAGCAGTAGGCGCGACGCGCTTGTCAGGAGCTGCTGAAGTTGGGCATTGCTCGCGGCGTCACGCCCACCCGGTTCCGAGAGGCTCTTTGTGAGCACTTGAGTGGAAGATTGGACATCGAGGCCGAAGAAGAACGCGGGTGTGACAGTACACGTTGGATGACCCGCACACCCGAGAGGCTCATCCCCATCGGTGACACTGCGAAGGGCCATTTCGGCAAGGAGCACTTCGACTGCGTCGTGCTGAATCTGAGCGAGCTGCCCTTGAAAGTACACTGAAGAGACTTCTCCGATAATAACGTCCCCCGCTACGGCAAACGCAGAAAACCACAAGCTGAATTCCGAGAACCACCAGAAGAGCTACAAGTGCGAGGGCAGCCTGCTTGAAGCCCGAGAAGATTACGATGGCCGGAAAGAAGTACCGAGCGGGGCCCCGGGCTCATTCTTCTCCTCGCGGTGATTATTTCTCGTATGTAAAGGCCACCGCGCGGCTCGTGGCCACCGCCTGCGCGTCGTCACGTCGGCGAGGCCGCTCCTTCTTTCGTTCCCCCTTGTCTTCGTCATCATTGAGTGAAAGAGTTTGTCCTCGGCCTCCCTCCCTCCCCTTCCCCGAAACGAGTTTCGCCAGCGTTCGTGTGGCCCCGAAGCGGCGCGCGCGGGCCCGCGGCGCATGCGGCGGCGCAGCTCCGGATTGGGTGACGGCCGATGCCGATCCGCAGAAGCAGCAAGTGGAGGTGGAGGTGGAGGAGGACGCGGTGCAAACCCAAGATTCATCAACGATATCGCAATCAACCTTGCTTCCGGGTCCAAGCTCCCTGATCATAGGTCCCTGCAAGGCTGACTGTAAGTAAGAGAATTGCCCCGTTTGAAGACATACGTTGCAAAATCAGGAATTGCAGCAAAACGCAATTCCTAGGACTTCAACGCCGCGCGCTGACGATCCTGACTCGTGCCAGCACACCATTCCTGGGATGCAACACCACGAATCAACGTGACGGTTGCGCCCTCGCATTCTTGCGTCATGCAAAGCAGTTGTGGGGACGCTAGCCATACTAATCATTGAGACGGTGGTGCACTCTTGAAACGGATGTGCGCGGAGCGAGTGTCACCTGCTGGAACAATAACCGCCCTACATCAGCGAAACCGTTGCGAACGCTTCTACGAAATAGTGTACGCGGCGTTGGGGCGAGTCCACATGCTGAAAAGGAACCACCACCCATCCGCGAAGATGCTGCGCACCTCAGGACGACTTTGCGCGGCGCTAAGGCGAGAGCCACATTTTGAAAAGGGCCCGCCCTCCAGTCGTGAAATTGCTGAAAATTCAAAGCGTCAGGATCCTAAATGGTGGGGGCGTTTGGGGCGAAACGCCCCGCCTGCCCTGCCGACGCGTCTCGGGCGCGACAGGGCAGAGTTGTTCGCAAGCAGAAACCATGGAGGATGAGGAGGAGGAGGAGCAGGTAGAGCCGCCGAGGAAGAGGAAGAGGAAAAGGAGGACGAGAAGGAAGAGGAAGAGGAGGAGGAGGAGTCGCCGAGGAAGAGGAAGAGGAGGAGGAGGAGAAGGAGGAGGAGGAGGAGGAGGAGGAGGAGGAAAAACGCCACAGCATCGCGGTTGGCCCCGCACCGAGCCGTGGTCGAGGCACGAGGGAGGGGGGGTGGAGGGCACTTCGGGCCTCGATTCGCCAGAGGTCGGGGCCAAATCCCTCTCCCCCCGTCGAGACCATCGAAGTGGGTGTGGAAAGGCTAGGGACGAAGATTGACAGCAATCCCTGCCTATTTGCAGTAGGATCTGCTGTCGGTGCGGCCGCGGGCCTTATTCATTTGAAACAGAAAGCCGCCTGCCCAACGGCAGCCGGTGTCGGTGTGGGACATCATTTGTTCCGTACCGTTTTTGTCGACGACGATGGCGATTACGCCGATGACGACGACGAAGGCGACGACGGAGATGACGTGGAACTACTGCCCAGAGGCCGCATCGTGCGCATGTTTTCCGTGCGCATTTCGGGGGTCCAAGCCCCTCCTTGTTGAGAGCGGCCTTGCCGCAGGTTCCATTTGCTGCTCGGCTTTCACGAGGAGGGCTGCACCCCAACTGCGGTGAGGAAGCAGCTGGTGGTGGAGAACGGGAAGCTGCGATCGCAGGCGCAGCCGTCGTCGTCGCAGTCGTAGTTGTCGTCGTCGTCGTCGCCTCCCTCCCTCCTGTCCCGTCCGTCCGCTCCTCATCATCCATATTCGTCCTCCATCCACTTCCTCATCTTCTTCCCAACATCCTCCTCCATCTCCTCCTCCTCCTCCTCCTCCTCCTCCTCCTCCTCCTCCTCCTCCTCCTCTTTATCATTTTTCTTCGTTTCCTCATACTCCTCCTTCCCAGCCTCTGTTTCATGCTCCTCTGTCTCCTTTCCTCCTCCTCTTCCAGTTCTTCCTTCCTCCTCTCTCTCCTCGCTCCGAGCATGCTCCTTAGTATTCTCCTCCTCCTCCTCCTCCTCCTCCTTCTCCTCCTCCTCCTCCTCCTCCTCCTCTCCCTCCTCCTCCTCCTCCTCCTCTCCTCCTCCTCCTCCTCCTCCTCCTCCTCCTCCTCTTCCACACAGCAACACCAACAGGGAAGGGCGGCAGGACAATATACCTCGGGCTACTCGGTCTAGCTCGTGTCCTCGGGAGGGCCCAGCAAGGCGAGGGGGGAAGGGCAGGAGATGATGAGGAGGAAGGGAAGGCGGCTGATGAGGGGGAGGCGGACGACGAGAGGAGGAGTTGGAGGAGGGAGGATGGTAATAAGGAGCTTGCGGATGCCAAGTTAGCCAGGGTCGAACGAGTCAGTTGTCCCCGCCCACTCCCATCATCATTCCCCGAACAGAGGAACCAATGCTGGCACACCTTGATTCTGAGACTGGCGAGTGTTCCCACCTAGCGAGCGGAAGGTGCTCGCGCCCAGTCCCGCTTCCGACGATTTTCCGAAGTGGAGAAGACGGACCGCGCACGGTTTCGAGCGGATCTTCAGAAAATATGTGCACGGTATTGCGACGAAAGCACCATGTAGGTTTCTTTCGAGCAGGCAGTTGTCTGATGAGAGTTGCGGAGTCAAAGAATGCGCCGCGCCGACGCAGCACCTTCACTTCCACGCGAAATCTGCGCGGCGACTGGGCGAGAACAACATTTCGCCCACTCGCTCGCGGCCCCGCAGTCGCTGTTCGGCGACTTGGCGAATGACAACTACGCGCCGCGCCTTAGCGGGCATATCACGTCCACGCGACATCGGTGCGGAACTTGGGCGAGGGCGGCGATTCGCTTGTTCGCGCGCGGCCCCGCTCTCAGCAATTGCGCGAGTGAAACATAGACGCCGCTTCCAACGAGGAGCTCTGCTGTTAGGTGAAATTGGCGCGGCGTTTTGGGCGAGATTTGCATTTCGCCCGCTCGCGCGCGCCCCACTTGTCACCGAACTGGCGAGCAGAATGTGCCGAGCCGTGCCTAGGTTCTAGAAAGCGAACAACGTGCCGTGCCGTGCCCGCGTGTTGCGGCGTGCCAGGGCTCCTCAGAATGCGAAGGATGTGCCTTGCCCTGCCCGCGCGCCGTGCCGTGCCTGGGCTCCGCAGTGCGCAAGACGTGCCGTGGCATGCTGGCGCGCCGTGTCCGTGCCGTGTCCGCGCGCCGTGCCGTGCCGTGCCTGGGTTTTTCTAGAGAGCATCAGGTGTGCTGCGTCGTGCCCGCGTGCCGTGCCAAGGTTCCCAAGGTGCCGTGCCGTGCCACAAACACCAACGGAAAGCATCTAGTCTCCAGAATGGGGGAACTGTGCCGTGCCGTGCCCGCCTGCCGTGATATGTCGTGCTTAGGTTCTAAAAGTGCGAAGCGTGTGCCGTGCCGTGCCCGCGTGACGCGCCGTTCCGTGCCTAGGTTTTGGAATGCGAGAAAGGTGCCGTGCCGTGCCTGCGCGCGGTGCCGTGCCATGCCTAGGCATTGAGATGCAGAAAATGTGCCGTGCCCGCTTGCCTTGCCCTGCCAGGCTTCTAGGTCTTCGAATGCGAAAGACTTGCCGTACGGTGCCCGCGTGCCATGTCGTGCCGAGGCAGCATGCGGAGAATGCGCCGTGCCGGGCCCGGCTATCAGAATGCGAAGGGAGGGCCTCGTCCCAGTGCAGTGCCGTGTCGTGGCCAGCTTGTGGACTGCGGCAAGTGCGCCGTGCCGTGCCGTGCACGCGCGCCGTGCCGTGTTCGGTCTCTTGCGGCGCTGAGCCCCCGCACTAAGCACGCCCCATTTGACGTTGAATCACCATGTGTGTTCTCAACCGTAGCCATTTTGGCTCAAGCCGTCGGGCGCAAACGTGGCTGCTGGGGCCGCCGCGCGCCGCGCCCGCGTCAAGCCGCTGACGCCCCAGATAGAGTCCGAGGCCTGCTTCAGCTCGATGCTCGCGAGCCTGTTCCTGGCCCCTGACAGCCGACAGCGGTTGACTCGCATGACTCCCCGGTACGTGCTGCAAGAGCGCGCAGCGCGGCGGGGCCTCGGATCTGCGTGTCTGCGCCCTCGCGCCCGCATGCGAATGTGTTCTCTCTTCTGGAGCTCGAGATGTTTTGGCGCCGCCAAGCTCTTTAAAGTAATCCTCGGCGTGGTTGTGGCGCGAGGCAGCGCTACACACTTGCCTGGTGATGAAGCAGGCGCTCTCGACAGCATGGACTAGAAGAAGGTTCATATGCGAAGTTTGCTTTATTAGGCCTTCATGTGCGCTCTGGCTGCAGCGGACGGAGTATGTGGGCTCCTGGCAGCTTGGACGAGGAGTGGTGGAAAGTTGGTGCTTGGCCCTTCCAGAATGGACGCTGCGGGTGTCCACATTCTTGTTGGGCGTTTCTTTCAGCTTTCATTGCGAGGGATGAAACTGGGAGTTTTTTTCGTTCAGCTTGCATTGCGAGGGGGTGCAGTTCGAGAGCCGTTCTTGGAGTTGGCCGTGTAAGCGCTACAAAGCACAACAGAGCCGCTTTCGTCGCGCCGGCGAAGACGAAAAGCTCGGCTTGGTAGAGGCAGTAGGAGGACGACTGGCATTATGTGAAGAAGCGCGTGTCACACGCCCGCAAGGAGAGAGCGAGGCCGTGGAAACAGTCGAAGGCGATGAACCGAAGGAGGTGGACACGGAACATATGCAACATATCCAGGTGGTTTCGTGCGACCAGCATCGGCCTTGCATTTGGAAGAAGCATTGTGTTTCGCAGTGTTCATCGCTTGATGTATATTGGCACGTCTGTAGGAATCCAGTTCCTGAAGCGAGGAACCATTTCTTGCACACGTGGCGTTTTCTGGGAGGACCATCTCCTCTTCACGATTACGGCAACGCTGACTAATATGGTAAACTTCTGGCTCATCGCATCGGATCCCCCTCTTACGGGAACCCTTTTGACCTGGTCGTTTGTACGTTGAAGGTTTGCGACGCCTTTCCTCGGGTACGCAGGTGGTTACACGGATGCCACATCTTCGGCCGGTGCGGCAGCATGCCACGACAACCCGTTGGTTACCATTTTGCCAAGATGGATGGCACGTTTCTACGGAGTCGGAGCCGTTGTCGCGCAGTGGATCGTCTTCGGGGCTGTCGACTGTCGTGACGAGTCGCAGGTTGTGCTCCTGAAGTTGCTCCACATGGGCGCCCTCGCGTCTTGCGTGACCATCGCAAAGGAAACGAGGGACTTGTTGTTCTACCTGGCACTGGCCCGCCCCGTCTTGGGGGACTTTCCCCGGGCGGCTTTGCAGACAGTCTTCAGACTGAAGGTCTACGATAACTATTTCCTATTCGTCTCCGTCGCCATCGGCATCGCGTCGTCTCTCAAGGCGGCGCGCGACGCGAGCGATCGAGCCATGGCGGCCCACGGGGCTTCGACCGCGGACTTGACCCATGATGGCGTGGGCGGCGAGGAGCGATCGAGCCCGCGTTGGAGACAGGCGACGGCGGCGAGACGGCGGAGTTGCTCCCTCGCTTGACCCAAGATGGCAAGGGCGGCGAGGAGATCGAGCCCGTGTTGGAAGAGGAAGGCGACGGCGGCGAGCCTGCCAGTGGAGTCGCTCCCGCGACGCCCGGCGAGGCGCTCGGTCGGGGGCACTTCGCCCCGAAGTAGGTCAACATCGACGTCATGGGCAACGAGAGCGGCAGCGACGGAAGATTTCAGATCGGCAGCGAGTCGCCTTCCTCGCCCGGCACCGTGGATCTCAGATCGGCCGCCGCCGCCAAGGTCGTGAGCGCGGGCCGCGCTTGGTCGCGTGGGCGCGCTTGGCTAGGGGGGCGGGGCGGGGGCGGTTGCGCTGGTGGCGTCGATGGTGAAGAAGAGGATGCGTGAGGTGGGGGTGGCGACGATGATGGCGCTGGCGCGGGCGGGGCGGGCGCCGGGAGTTCGAAGACGATTCGGGGGGCGATGGCGTCGACGACGAGGGGGGCGCGGACGGGGCGGGCAGGGATGGCGAGGTCACGCCCGCGAGAAGGAGGATGGGGGACGATGGGGCGGGCGAACGTGACGAGGGTGACGCGGGTGGCGGTCTGGCGGCAGAATCATTTTTTGTTTTGCCGCCCGTTCCGAGGGCGCACCGCGGCGGGCACGCGGCTCGCAGGTTGCGCCCCGAAAGCGCGCACTCGCGCGCATTTGCATCGGCCTAGCTGCGACAGCTCGCAGCAGCCGTAGCTCGGTCGGACGCGCGCTCCGCGACGGGAGCGGTGCTCTGGTATTGCAGCGCGCCTCCCCAATCGGCTGCCGTGCGTTCCCCATGCATTGGCGGATCAGAGTTGTGTCCGGCGGTGGCGTTGTTGCGCCATCGCCGAAGTCAAGTTGCAACGCTCGCGCGCAGATATGGCTCGGCGCGCTGCGAGCGCGCGGAGGAATGCAACGCGCCGGCGACGATTGGCGGCGGCGGCAACGATTGATGCGTTTGCGAAACCAGCCGCGCTGCTGCCGCTCAACTGCACCGCGCGGCGCTCGACGCACCAGCCGCCCGACGCGCGGCGGCCGGGGGGGGGGGCCTCCCATATAGTATGCACGGGCGGATGGCGCCCACCCTCCCGCGTAGATCTATACGCGTTCATGCGTGTATGCACCGTTGCGCCCACGGGCATGCACATCGCGACGCGCGCGCGCCAGCCTGTTGCGCTCGTCACAATGCACTTGCCAACCTCCATCACCTATGGCCCCTCCTCCGACCCTTCCGCGCGCGCCAGCCCGAGCTCGCTCGGGCGGCGCGGGCGCCGAAGCCGAGGCCGCCGCGCGCGCCGAGGGCACGGGCTCGAACTCCTCCGACGGGCGGCGCTCGGGGAAGGCGCCTTCTGGCGCGCGCGGCGACTCCGCGGGCGGCGCGGCCGCGCTGTCCCCGTGAGCGCGCGGCGCCCTCTTCAGCGCCGCGATCTCCGCATCGCGCGACGCCATGATGGCGCCTGCGAACTCGGCCCCCCCCTTCGCCAGCCCCCCCCGCGACAGCATTAAGCTGGCCGTCGAGGTCCTCGACGCGCCGCTCGCTGCGCGAGAGGCGGGCGCCGCTGTTGAGCGCCCCCCTCCTCGCAAGCTCGCGCGTCTGCTGCAGCTCGCCGAGGTCCGTAGCCACCTTCTCCGCCCCCTTCTCCGCCCCCTGCAGCCCGCGCCTCAGCTCGGTGCAGCGCTGGCTCTGTTCGGGCACTGCTTGCAGAGAGCACTGTGGCGAACCTGTAGCGTCGTCGCCGTGCTCGCATCCATCGTCTGAAACCCCCTGCGTGCAAGTGGAGTTCCCGACGGTGGTGTACGATGCGCTATAGCCTGTCGCGCGCTCGTCGTCGTCGTCGGCTCGTCGTCGCCGTCGTCGACGCGCCCGCTTGACTTCCAGAGTGCCTCGCTGCACTTCTGGACCTTCGCGGCCAGCGCATCGCCCTGGTCGACGGCGGCCTGCGCGCGATTCGGCGCCATGACCTCGCGATGGCAACCGGCGCAGCGCACTCGAGCCTGGAACGCTTCAAAACCACATGGCCCCCTCGCTCCACATGCCCACCCCGCCCCCGTCATTCCATCATTCGCCGCTGCCCCCTCGCGCTCCTCCCATCGCATCGCACCGCAAACGCGCACCACTTCCGACCGCGTGAATGCGGCGCTGTAGTGCCGCATTGATGCGCGATGAGCGCACGCCTCGCATGTGGATAGCTGCTGGGGCCCAAGTGGGATCCACTTACGTGCGATCTCCGCCCGCGGGCGATGGGCTTCCCTCGCCACCGCGGGGGTGGATTGTGGTGGGCCTCCTCGACATCCCGTTTGAGTTCATCACGATGGTCGACATTTGGAGGCCTCAGCCGAGAACGTGGCGGGCACGCCGCGTCACCGCTTCTCGTGCGACGCCAACAATAGTGGATACCTTGTACCAGTCTGACGGCATGACGACTTCGGGATGCGATGCGTCGTGTCCATGGTGCTCAGCTGGATGACTTATTCGTCGGGCATGCAGTGCCCACTTATGTACGTGTGTGCGCGTGTGTATGCATAGCGTCCTGGCGCGCGTCTGCTAAAGCAGCCGTGCATCAGGGCGTTTTATCGACATCGCCCAGGTGCGCTGAAAACGACCCTGGCCGATACATGGTGCAGGTGCGCGGTCTAAGATCGCATCCTGAATTCTCGCTTCTACAACCTCCGCCGCTCATGAGGGGCCGCGCGCGAGCGACGGCCGACGACGCGGCATTCAGCATCGCTTGTGGAGCAGTACCAACGTCTGCATCAGCACCGTCAGCATCGGCATCCACATTATCGCAACCGTCTGCGCCCGCGTAGGCAGTGCATGCGGACAGTGCTGTCGCCGCTTCAGCGCGGGTAACATTGTCGATGGTGCTCGCTGCGGGAGGAATGGAGGATGGCAGTGCGAAGACAACGACGAGGGAGGGGAGGAGGTGACGGAGGATCGCTCCCGCCAAGCGTCGCACTCGACCACGCGCCCGAGGAGGGAGGCAATTAGGGGGGAAGAGGAGGGAGTTGAAAAGTCAGAGGGAGCTCGGGCGGCAACCGCAGGCTACTGATCTCGTGCCACGGCTCGCGTCTGCAGCGGCTGCCTTCGCACTGGAACTCCGCGTCGGCTCATGGCAAGTCCCCCGGCGTAGGACGACGCGTTCTCACGCCATGGGAGAAACGAGAACGAGCATACGACTCGTGGTGGATGGCTACCTGGGCATCCAGTGTCTCGATGCCCCCGTCAAATAGCGGTTGGGCCGTCGTTCGCCGAGCCACGTGCCCGACGCCGTCCATTCGAGCACCGCATCCCAATCCGCAGGACCCTCGCCCCCAGCATCGGGCCTTCGTGCACCAGCCTTGTGCATAGCAGACGCAAACAAGCCGCCTGAAACCGAGGCGTTGCAATTTTTGTACAACGGGCGTTGTGGCCCGGATTCTGGCCCCAGGACCCTCACAGATCGATCCAGCTCGATAAACGACGCAAAAAGATGGGGTCTAGGGTTTTGGTCGCGATTTCTCGTGATGCTGCAAGTTTACCGCAACGTCGGATCTTAGGGCTAACGCGCCGCTGAGATTGCTGATCGGACCCGCACTGCTGTTTTCGAGCTGGAGCGAAGCGACCCTCGAACACATTTGTTGTGGAGTTGCGGTGTTTGCTCATGGAATCGATGATTGTGCCCTCGTCGATGCCACTTCTGTGTGGCTCGCGCTTTCCCCTTAGCGTTCTTCTTTCGCCTCCCCAGCAAAATGTGGCGTTAACTTCTCTCTTGGCTCTTGGTTTTATCAGAAATTATTGCGTGTCCCACAGATAGGACACGAGCCAGCTCAATGATCTTGGCTTTGGATGAAGGTGCGTCCAGGTGGCCGTGTTATTGCCCGCTGGACCCCTGGGTATTAACCCTGAGTTGCGATTGTCGCCCTCCTTTCGGTGAAACCATATCACGGCCCGCTTTGGGAAAAAGGTATATCCCACACCCAGAACCCTCACTTCGGGATCCCACCAGGCTTATGATATAATCCCAACCGGACCTCAATCGGATTCTCGCAAGATTCCTGGCGAATCTTTCGGGAATCCAGACGATTCTTAAGGATTTAAGAATGATTCGTGAAGGTTTCCTGAAGTCTCCTGCAGGTTTCTTCTTAATTCCCGCAGGATGCCTTCAGCTTGAACAGAGGGCACGGTAACACATCACTGCGTTCTGTTGCTGAAGCCCTACACGCCGCCACGCTGGTCCCGGGCAGGCTGTGCTGCCCGGCGGAAGGGGACGAACAGGGGAGAAGCAGGCAGACGACGACGACGAACGCGCAGGCTGGAGGCCAGGGCCGGCGGGGCCGGCGGGCAGGCGGAAGAGGGGCCAGGCGGAGACAGCAGGCAGGGAGCAGGAGGAAAGGAAAGGGAGGATTCCTGGAGGATGTTTGGGGAGTCCTGAAGGATTCCTGAAGGTTGCCTCGGGAATTCCTGAGGGATTCTGGAAGGGTTCCTGAAGGATCCCCCCCCACAGGAAAGAATCATCTGGGTGCTAGCGATATCGCTCGGCGGGCCCGGGTCTCCACCCTTGGTAATCGGCGGGCCCGGGTCTCCCCCCTTGGTAATCAATTTGGTGTTGCGCGCGACGGATAGCAGGGGAATCGATCGTGCGAGATCAGGGTTGCATGAGCCGACCGCGCTCAACCACGGCACTGGGCAACAGCCCTGGAATGTGGGATATGGGACGTGCCGATACCGAACAGCTCGTGTCCGGGACGTGCGCAAGTCAATGTACTCGTGTCCGAAGACTGACGTACATTCCTAATTCGTCACACATTATAGCTAGGGGTAGACGAGGGGTTATGCTATATCAACTTGAAAGGGCTTCAAGTGGGACACCAGCAACCTAGCACGATGAGATGGACAAACATGATGATGGCCAGGATGATGACAACAACACAGCATTCCCCCTGCGATCCTTAGCACGAAAAATCTGTTGATTACCGAGGGGGGGACCGGAGACATCGACATCGAGGAGGAGGAGGAGGAGAAGAAGGAGGAGGAAAGGCAATGAGATTTTTGCGGGAGCAGTGAACGTAGATGTGCGGCACAAGTGGGGCTTGCCGAAATGTTTCATCAATGGCCATGTCGGGCCGAGAGATGCTCAAGTCCAGTACGGACACAGCGAGGGCCCTCAGCATGATGCGAGTATGTTACGTCGGGCGTGTCCTTCTACAGGAGGAATATTTTGTTAAGTAAAAGAGTAGCCTGGGGATGATTTTTCATGTTTTTACCATGTTGAATTTGTTTCACTATTTGTTACTGTTCCTCCAAAATCCGCCTGTAGGGGGACATGCCCGACCTAAGCGCATTGGTGGGTAAAGTATGTTTAATATCCTGTTTGCCACAAAATGTATCGCCAGGCCGAGCTGCCCTGGATTGCTGTAGGCTGTAGATCCTAGACGTGGTATCGGCTCACCTGGTCCGGACGGGTGCTCGTGGCCGCAGTGGTCAGGGACAGACCTTGGCGGGTCGGTGGGGGCGGTATGAGGTGGAGGAGAAGGTGAAGCAGGAGGAGATTATTGTTCTCGTCGAGGTTGGTGGAGGCAGACCCCAGCTGGTCGGGCCAGATCCTTGCAGCGATAGCCTGCCCGTTGTACAGCATTGACTCTGCCATTTCCGCATGCTCTTACTCCTTCCCCTCGTCCCTCCCTCCTCATCCTACTCCTGTCTTTCGTATATCGTCTTCCTCGTCCATCTCCTGCTCCACCTGCTGCTCCGCCTCCGCCTACATCCCTCCCCCTTCTATTCTTCTTCCAGCCTCCTTCTCCTCGTACTTACCCTGCGCCTCCGCACTCGTCCTCGTCCTCCGCCTCCTCCTCCTCCTCCTCCTCCTCCTCCTCCTCCTCCTCCTCCTCCTCCTCCTCCTCCTCCTCCTCCTCCTCCTCCTCCTCCTCCCCCTCCCCCTCCTCCGTCGCAGCAGCCGTAACTGCGCACGCGCGCGCCGGGTGCCGCATAGTTTCGGGAGCCGGCTGGCAGCCCCTGGGTCCAGGCGTCTGGCGCCGAGTACGGCATCGGCGAGTTCCGCACACCGTCCCTCGGCCAGCTCCGGGAGGCCGCCCGACGTCAGATCCAGGACCCCAAGGTGGTCCAGGCAGCGCTGCCTCTGGGGATCCGCCAGCTGTCCGCCGCCTGCCTGCACCGATCCCGGCCAGGTCCGCGCCCCGTGGCCCAGGATCGGCGCCGACTCCTCCCTGTCCAGGCCCTGAGCCCCAGGTCGGAGGGCACCAACTCTACACCCCGATCTTGGCCAGGCCAATCCTGGGCCCAGGATCGGTGTATATACGCCTTTTTGCCCCAGGCAGGAGGGCGTATACACCCATCCTGGGCCCAGGGTGGTCCTGGCCAGGATCGGTGTTTGTGTATAGTTGGTGCCCTCCTACCAGGGCCTGGACAGGGCCCGATGATGTCGGGGCCCCCAGGGCCTGGGCGCCCCGACATCATCGCGTCGTGAAGAAGGCGCGACAGAAGGTGTTTGGCGACGTTCGACGTCCAGGGGCCTTTCTTGGGCCCCGGGGTCATCCCCACGTCGGCTCATGATGAGCAGCCGTTCCTGTGAGAAGGATCCAGAACTCGTGGGAGCCATGTGTTGTGAAATAAACACGACGTCGGATGTCTCGTGGGCGGGATCCGCCCAGATTTGTCGTTGTTTCCTAACCCTGATGTCGTCCATTCTTGGCTAGAGGAATGCGCGTGCTGGGGATTGGTGGCAGGAATAATGGGGGTTGGCGAGGAAGCCGAGGAAGCGGCCTACTGGACGGGGTGGGGCCATCATGGGCGTCAGGGCACAGTATGTTTGCGGATTGTGAAGGCCTTGCGGCCAGTGTCGCCGACCTTGAAGACGACGACGACGACGACGACAACGAGGACGACGTTGAGGAGGAGGAGAGGGAGGAGGAGCAGGAGGAGGAGGCGGAGGAGGCGGAGGAGGATGAGGGGGAGCAGGAGCAGGGGGGGGGGGACGGGGGAGAACGGAGAAGAAGGAGGACGAGGAGAATGGGAGCCGGAGGAGCAGGAGAAAAAAGAGGACGCGGAGGAGGGGGAGGAGGAGGGGCATGAAGAAGAGGAGGATGGGAAGAACGAGGTCGAGGTAAGGTTGCGGAGGGTCGCGAGAAGGGGACACGAAGGAGGGGGGTGGCCATGAGGAGGAGGATGATCAGGAGGATGAGGATGATGCGGAGGAGGATGCGGAGGAGGGGAATCAGGACAAGCTAGGTGCGCTCGCGTCATATCTGACGTCCTAACTCTCCCTCCCATCCCTTATCATGGCGTAGATCTCCTCCCTATTCGCACAGTCGGATGTCGTAGCAGAGCATAGCATTACCTGGCATAGCATGGTGTTGAAGATCAACGCGTATCCTGACATAGCATGGCGTGTCGACGCCCCAAAGTGGTGGGGGGTGCTGATGCGGTCCAAAAGTCATCAAATCGACACCGAATGTGTAATCACGTCCAATGGTTTTTTGGGGGGCATTTTTAAAATTGTCGGGCCTATTTGGACGGACCGAGAACCATGCCGTGGCATGGCGCTGGAAATAATGACGCCAGCGCTGCAGCGGGAGCACGATTCGGAACGAGCGGAAGCGCGGAAACGAGGCCAGCGCTGCAGCAGGAGCACGGTTCGGAACGAGCGGTAACCCGAAAATGAGGCCAGCGTTTCAGCGAGAGCAGCATTTTGAAAACAAGATTCAGCAAAAATCCAACTCCCGGCAAGGGGGGGCCGGACATTTCCCAGACGCCACCAGGGGAGAGAGGAGAGTAGTATTCATATTGTTTAATTGTGGAGGGTAAGGGTGAGGAACAGAAGGAAGAGGAGGAACAGGAGGAAGAGGAGGAGGAGGAGGAGGAGGAGGAGGAGGAGGAGGAGGACGCCGTGGAGCAGGAGGGGGAGGCTCAGGAAGAGCATGCGGAGGAGGATGAGAAGGGGGAGTTGGGGCAGAAGTAGGTCAATGAGGGCAATGAGCAGGTAGAGGACGAGGAAGACGAGACAGAGGAAGAGGAGGAGGAGGGTCAGGTGCACGGGGCGGCGGGGATGCTTGTCGGGGTCTCTTCAGAGCGCTTTCGGGGGCCTCGCAGTTTGAGGGTGTTCTGGGAGACTCTTCGGGGGCTTCGTGGGAGCCTCTTGGGGGCCTCCAGGGGCGTCCTGGGGGCTTGCTGGGGGCGTCTTGGAAGCCTCGTTGGGGCCTCCTGAGGCCTCGTTGGGGCCTCCTGAGAGCTTCTCTGGGGCGAGGGCTCGCGATGTCCGTTCGGGTCCCCCGTCTGGGCACTCTGGGAGCCGTCTTGGGTGCCTCTTGGCATGTCTTGGAGGCGTCTCGGGCCGTCTTGGGGCCCTCTGGGGACATGTTTGGAACCTCTTGGAAGACTTGGGGCCGTCTTGGTGCGATCTTGGGGGCCTCTGGGTCCGTCTTGGAGCGTCGGGAAGCGAACGAGGCGAGAACGCCCAAACTTTTCAAAACCTAAGGGGGATGCATGACGTTTGCATCTAGGGGCCTTCTTGGGGGTGTTCCTGAGGGCCTCTTGGGGCGTTTTGCAGACCTCATGGGCCTTCAGGAGGCCGTGAAGGCGTCTGGTACAGATCGTTCGGCGACGCGGGGCCCTCGTGGACCGTCTTGGGGGTCTCTTCGGGCTCTCGTGGTCCGTCCTGGGGCGTTTGTGGAACCCGGGACCCCCCGGGAGGGATGCGTATCTGGGTGGCGCCCTCCCCTCCCCGTGACCGAGGCGTCTCTCTCCTGGGGGGAGGGATCAATGGGAGGGGGTCTCTTGAGCTTTTTGGGGGCCAAAGACCCCCCGAGATGGATGCGCATCTGGGTGGCGACCACCCCAGGGACCGAGGCGTGTCTCCCCAGGGACCCCCTTCCCGCCGACGGGAGAGGACTCCAAGGGAGGGAGCTTCTCATCGATTGGATTACGACTTTAGTCAATCTCGCTTGGGCTGGCGCGCTTGGGGAAGAGGGCCCAGGAAAAGGGGGGGAGCGGCGACGGGCCCAGGGAAATGGGGGCCGCAGGGAAAGGAGCCGTCAGAGACGACGACTAACGGATGACGAAGAGGACGACTCGAACGGACAGCCCTTCACACACGCCGGCAGGGTCGGCGGATATGTTTACGTGTCCTCACGCCGTAAGTCGATCAGTGTTGCTTTGGATGTGCGCGGTTACGGGTTGCTTCCACGTCGCCACGCGCTCATCGAGTGGCCTAGCTCGATTTCGCGAATCCGGTGAAATGGACATATGTGGTGGTTTATCTCACCAGCGTGTCTCAGCCTCGAAGTAGTTGGGCATGGTTGGATTTGCAGAGCTATGCATGGCTCGTTCTAGTTTGGACTGGCTATGGCTATGTGCTTGATACAGCCAATCTCCTCTTCGGCTAGAGTTGCGTACGTTCTAGCTGCGTTCGGATCCCCCTAGCGCGATGTCGCATCCTCCCTTGTCACAGCGACGAAGGTGCATGAACCTCTCAACGCAGCGACAACGATAAGCCACCGTACATTGTGATGAAGTGTGCACGTGCGTTTGCGTCACGATGGTGTGCTTCTGGGAGGGTCCAGGAGGGTACCCAGCTGTATTTTATAATGTTCATGGTCCAGGGCGGATGCAATAATGTGTCGTCACATGGACCTCTCCGTCATACCCCTTCCGTGAGGCGATGTGGCATTCGTGTTTGTCTCATCATCCCTTTGTTGTTTTCAGTCTGGTGTTCTTCCATAGCAGCCGCCTCTTGCTTCTTCTTTTCTCGAATCCTCACGGTAGAGGCTGTAATTTAGTAGAGCCTCGGGCGCGCGCAGGCAGCTGGGCTCCGAGGTCCATTGAGGGTCGAGCATTCCTTCAACGATGCCGCGGAGCTGCACAGGAAGACCACTGCCAGGGCTGCGTGGCTCCCCGTATCTTATACCATACACGACTGCGCATTCCCACCCACTCATGCGTCCCGTCCCCAGCATTCCAGTTGTTCTTGCGCACGTGTGCATACGCCCAGGCCTCACTTACACGTCGCATAATGTTCTGGACTGCCGGGCCGTCCCGAACATACGACGGCTGTCACACACGCACACACACACACACACATTTGGTACACCCGTACACCTGCTCGATCTCCGACATGCCACCAGATATGTTTCACCTGTTGACCCCCCGTCTCCAACTCACCACCTCTTGCTATGCACCCCCTGTCGCCAACGCACTGCCCGGCCCTTTAGGCATGTTCCACACCGTGGCATTTCCCATATTTTGTGGACCCTTCGTGTCCAGCCAAGGCCTCATGCGGTCTAATCCTCCCCGACCCCCACGCTCGAGTCAGATCCCCGTGTTTTTTCGTCAGCTTCTTGTATCCACCCGAATTTGATGACCCGCGTTGTTAGGGGAATCAGGCGCGAGTTGTTTGAAGCTTCTGAGATCCGCACCATGCATAGAGCTCATCTGGCCATGATCTAAACGAGCGCACGGGCGCGTGGAACTCAACCGCGCAGACGAGTCCGTCCTGCCGGTCGCGAAACGGTGGTGGCGATGGTGATGACCGTGACGCCAACGACGATGAAGATGACAGTTGTGATCTTGTTGATGCCGATGGCGATGACAGTGGAGATGGGAGGATACGATGTCGACGACGACGACAATGGTGATGGCAATGACGCTGATTGTGATGAAGATGACGGTGGCAACAATGACGCCCGCTGCGCGTCAGGAGGCCAGAGAATCGCTTGGCGCTGTTTCAGGTCGCCTCGCAGACGAATTGCCTCTCGCTCGTGTCCCCGGCCGGCCGCCCCCCCGGCCGAGGAAGGGCGAGGAGGGGTAGGGGGGATATGCTGGCCACGATTGCAAGTGTCGGGCGTGCCACTCCGTTTTCTCGGCAAGACTCCGGCTCCTTGCGCACCTGAACCGACGACCCAACCAGTGCGGGGCACGGATACTAACGATTTGTGCACCACTGCTTGCAGAGGAAGTCGCTGCGTTAGGCAAAATTTGACGCGCTGGCGCGCCACTCTGCGCACAAGGTCGGATTTAAGCACCCCGGAGGCAAGGGGATTGTAGTCGAGGTTGTCGGGAGACTCGTCGGCTGAGTGTTCCCATATTTCGGAGCCGCGAATTGTTTGTCATTGGTTTTACTCTTCAGCGACGCATTGAGCACAGCGCATGCAAACAATAGGGAAGGGGGGAGGGGTAGGGCCTAGCAGCCGATGTCTCGCCGCCGATACCCGAGAACATCAGGCCGCTCCGTAAAGAGGGGGGAGTCGGGGTACACACCCAGGGGGGCTACTCGAACCTACCCCCTTAAACATCGAGGATGGACGCCCTCCATCGTATATCCCAGAGTTTGGTCCCAGAGTTCTGGTCAGTTCCACAACCCGACGACGTCAGAGATTGGGGTCGCCGTGCCCCTCGTTCGGAGAAGACGGATGCGAAGACGAGGATCATTCAGGGATCATTCAGGGATCATTCAGGGATCTCTCTCTGGGATCTCCTGGGGATTTGCGGTGCTGTGTGGCTTGGGGCGCGGACGGCTTTCGTGGGGCTCTGGAGGGTCCTCGGGGGGTCGGGGAGCTCAGGGAGGAGAGGGGGGGCCAGGGGGGGGAGGTGCGCGGGGCGCCACGACGCGTGCTGCAGTGTACCGCGTGGGTGATGGATCAGCACGCGGTTGGGGGAGATCCCGCTTGTCCGTGAGCTGCCTGCTGTACCATGCAGTGGAGCTCGCCTCTGCCAATTCTCTCGCCAGTTGTGCCAGCGGGATTGGCTTCTTCTGCGTGGGTGATGGAGGCCATACAGGGGGATAGGGGGGGAAGAGGCCCCCCGAGGGAGGGGAGGCGTCCAGCTACTCTCGATGGCGTCCGATTTGTTTTGTTTGTTTTTGTTTCCCGAGCACCTTCGGGAGCTTCCGATGCATATTGGTTATGTACATGTTCTTCGCTGGCGCTTGCCATGCGTATCCAGGTATCTGCCCCCCCCATCTCTCACTCTGGCCATCTGCATGTAGACATACATGTATATGCGTGTGCATAAGCATTGCAGAGCATTCGACCCGTCCCGCCACCAGGCCTTCGTCGTGGACAACCGTCTTCTCGGATGCTTATTGGAGCTTCCTTGAGGCTTCTCGGTCCTCCTGGGGGGGGGTCTGGAGGCCTCCTGTGAGCCTCTTGGGGGTTTGCTGGCTGTCTCGGGGGCTATCTGCCATCTTGGGCTGGAAGCCTAGACATTGAAGTTCGAGGTCACCCTCGTGGGCCCCCCTTGGCCATGCCCGCCCGCCTCCAGGGGGCCCTGAGGCAGGCCCTGAAGCAGGTTGCGCTCAGATGCCTCGTCGAAGAGTGGGAGCCCCCGTGGCCAGGCCCGAGGCCCTCCCGAAGCGTGACGAGCGCAGCCTGGCATGATGCCAGCACGCGTGCAGCTGTGGTGGCCAACGCGACCCGGCGAAGTGGCCGTTCTGGCTGGACTCGGCCTCCTCGCCTTCGTGCCAACATGTTCGGCAGGCCGTGCTTGCCTCCAGGACTCGCGGTGGACTTTGGTTACACTCAGCCGATCGCAGGCTGGGGGCGTCCCTGCCACAGCGTTGCTCCCTCTGCGCCCCTCCCCTCTAGTGATGCTACGTGAGCGCAGCGGAGCGGTCTCAGCACTTCTGGAGCTTGCGCGAAGGTCCTCCGTGTAAGTCAAAAGCGGGTTGCTTTCACTCGCTGCACCAGTTTCTGCTGTCGCCTGGATGTCTACCGCTCCCCCTCTGCCTGAATGCCTTGCTCTACCTCCTTGGTGCCTCTCAACCTCGTCCCACCCAACTCTCCGGGGCCGCTCTCTATCCACCTCTACCGACCCTGGCCAGGCCCATTGTGGGCACAGGATCGGCAGACACGGCCCCCTGGCTTGGCCTCGAAGGCGTACGCACACAGATCTTGGGCCCACGATCGGCCTGACCAGCACGGGTGCTGGTGGCCAGTTGGCGTCATCCCGTGTGCCTCTCGCTCTCCTCCCGCCTGCTCGCCTGCCCTCGAGACGTCGACCCCGGAGATGGGGGTCACGGCCTACATCGACGACCGCTCGCAGGCTCGGCAGGGCGAAGATTCTGGCCTCACATCCTCGGGCGGCCCATCCCTTTCCTCCTGCTCCTCCCCTTCCTGCTCGACGCGAGCTGCCCTATTCGGGTGCCGCCGCCTAGCACGCGCGCAGATTGAAGCCACGAAGCGCATGGTGGGATGTCTCGCCGTCCGTCGGTCTGTCTGCAGTTGATGCTTCAATCCCTTTGTATCCTGCACGCGCATCGGAGCACAGGGCAGATATGTCTGAGTGGAAGTGTGGAGCTCGTGTCAGGTGTGCGCCAGGGAAGTTTCCAAGCATGCTTGGGCGATATTGTGAAATGGGACTTGGGCTGATGGTCACACTATAGCTTCGGTGCTGACCGAATCTTGCAGTCCACGCTGACTCAGTTGCTAGAGACCAGATTTGCAATGTAGTGATGTGCACTTGATTGCCTACAGTGGCCCTAGGCCTTCTATGAAGTCGATCGCTCAAGGGCATGGCGTGACAGCGGTTTGGAATCGTATGGGCATGCCGTCGAGTGGCATCTCCACGCGTCACATGCTACATTCTAGGTGATTCGGATCGCAAAAAACATACCGGTATGCGCACAGCATGATCAACATATCAGATTTGTGCAGAGACGAACCATGCCGCGATCTCATTCACATCGCACAGATGTGCCAATCGGCCGAGCCACGCCTCCGCTACCACTCGCCAGGGGCCATGCTGCGCCATCGCTTGCGGAGCGGGCACGGTCTTCAGGAATTACTTCGCGCAGGTGCCTGGAGGATCGGCCTTGTTTCCGAACAGGGGTCAGTGGCCTTCTCGTCAACACACTGCTCCATCGTTTCTGCCTCTTGGTCTGTGGTGGATTATGAGGTGCTTATGGTTGGCCTCGTTCCCTCACTTTCATTGTGTGTTTTACACTCTGTACTTTTCTCAGGGCTGCACAGTAAAACTCTCTTCAGCAAGTTGCAGCCCAACCGGGTCACGAGAAGTGACGAGATCCGGGGCACATCGAGATTATCGAGGCTATGACTCCCCGTGTTAAGGTCGATGCCGTGTTCTCATTCTGACGGCACATCTTGTATCGGTGCCGGCCTTTGCTTGCGTGCTCGCGGAAATAGGGATTGGTGGGTCGTGGTCGTGTCCCTGACTTGTCGTGTGCACCTCGCTTGGGAGAGAAACAGTGACAGGGTCATTGCAAGGCAATGTCCAGCAACCCACGCATCGAGAAAGTCAAGTCGCCAGATGCCTGGGTCGTACGCCCCACGGTGCGCCTCCTCAAGCGTTGGGTTTATGATTGGATGCCCGTTGGCTGATGCCCTTTTCCAGATGCGCTTGACGCTCGCCCGCATGGAGTTCGCTCATTATCCAGCGCCCTTGCAGGAACAGTACCAGACATGACCATCTCAGTATCGATTCCCCCCTGCCTCCCCCCAGGGGCCTCTTGGAATCCTCCCGGAGGCATCTTGGGGCCTCCCAGGGGCTCCTGGGGGCATGTTGGCGGTCTCGGAGGCCCTCTTTGGGGCCTCTTGGGGTTCTCTTGGGCCGTCTGGGGGCTCCTCCTCCTCCTCCTCCTCCTCCTCCGCCTCCGCCTCCGCCTCCGCCTCCGCCTCCTCCTCCTCCTCACCCCTCACCCCTCCTCACCCCTCCTCACCCCTCCTCACCCCTCCTCCTCCTCACCCCTCCTCCACCTCCTCCTCCTCCTCCTACTCCTCCTCCTCCTCCTCCTCCTCCTCCTCCTCTGCTGGGCCGTCGTCGGGTTTTCTCGGAAGCCCCTCGGGCCGTCTTGAGCTGCCGGAAGCCGGGGACATCGAGAACGAGTAAATCTTCAAATGTTTTGCGTTTGGAGGCCATTTGGGGCTGCATTGGGGCCATCTTTGAGCCATCTCTGAGCGCTCTTTGGCTGTGAGCTGTGGTTTGTAGCTCCCTTGGGCTGTTCGGCTCTTGCACCATTGGAGCTCCTTTGGGGCGACCATGAGCATGTATAGTGGTGGTCAGAAAGCCTGCGCCCAAGAGTTCTGGCATCTCTGGGGAGTTCTGACTTGGGCATTGGCGAGATAGTTCTTCCCCAGGAGCCCCCAGGGGCCGCCACGCGCACGCGAAATATCAGTATACAAACACCATGAACTTTTTCCAGGCATAATACATTGTAGAACGCGTTTGGTTATTGTGGTTGGCGCTTTTGCGTGATGCCTCTGCCTCCTCTTCACCCACCTCCTCCCTGCCGTACTCAGAACTACTCATGGTCAGAACCGCTCATTATTAGACTCACGCGCACCCAGCCTCGCTCGTAGTCATGCTCATTCGCACTCTGATCCACGGACCACTCATATCTAGATTCACTCAGACTCAGACTCACATCCTAACATGCGGCTCTTGTCCCTCTAATTATCTTCAATGGGGGGTTGTTGCAATTCGTGCCACGCCTTCGCCTTCTCACCCCACTCGCAACTCCCTGCGTCACTAATACTCAGACTCTCCCACAGCAAGGCGTCAGACTCACTTAGTTTTAGACTCACTCTTACTCAGACTCACTCAAACTCAGACTCACTCACACTCAGACTCTCTCGTACCCGGTCTCCCACACCCCGATTCCCCCACCCACACTCAGACACTTCCAGATTCATCTACACCCGTACTCACTCATATTCAGGCTCATGTTCGCTCAGAGTCGTTGCTACTCAGACTTTACTCAGACTTACAATACTCACTCACACTCAGCCTCTTCCACATTCAGATACACTTACACTCATACGCACGCGTACCCAGACTCATTGATAATCAGCCTGCTTCGCTCATTCTGCGACTCGGAACCTTCCAGGCATAATTAAAGTGTTTCCCCATATCCTAAGATGTGTTCCTTGTTATTTCTTCGACGATTCGGGACCTCCTCCTCGTTCTCCTTTTCCTCGGCCTGGTGCACGTTTGCACGAGCGTTCTGCCTCCTCCCTCGTCTGTTCGCCTCCGCCCCTCTTCTTGTCGCTCCCCTCCGCAGGTAAATGTCAGAACAGTGCGTTCAGTGTAGCAGAATGGTCGCGATGAAGGCGGAATGACGGCAGGGAGTTGAATCAAGTTTTACCGGCCCCAGCCCACGCCAAGTCTCTTTAGAGAAGACATCCGACGATTTGATGGTTTTGAGTGTTGTTGGTGGTGGTTTTGTTGTTGTTGTTGCTGCTGCTGCTGCTGCTGTTGCTGCTGTTGTTGTTATGTTTCTTGTTCTTCACTCTCATACACCTCAGACTCACCCAGTTTCACTCAGACCCACTTAGTGAATTCGCCTCGGACGCACTCTCATTCATGCACATTCGGACTCTAACTCCGATGCGCTCTTCCTTACTCAGACTCGCTCAGACTTTTCGTTGTCCACTGCCTAAGTAGCAGGCGTGGCACTTGGGCACCCCGAGGGGAAGCCGCCAGGGGTGGGGACACTCCAGGACTCGCGCCCAGACTGGGTGGATGTCTCAGGCGGTTTGCCCGTCTCTTCTCCCAGGCTTTTCTGTTCGGGCAGCCCACTGCGTACTGCGACATAGCAGGCGTGGCACTGGGGCACTCCAGGGGGGAGCCGCCAGAAGTAGGGACGCTCCACGAGTCGCGCTCAGATTGGGGGAATTCCTCAGGCGGTTTGTTTGTGTCTGCCCCCGCGAAATAGCAGGCGTGGCATCTGGGCACGGGACATTCCAGGACTCGCACCCAGATAGGGGGATACCTCAGGTGGTTTGCTTGTTACTGCCCCCCTGGACTTCTTGTTTTCTGTGGTCCACTGCTTACTGCGAGCGTAGCAGGCATGGCACTTGGGCACCCCAAGGAGGAGCCGCCAGGGGCGGGGACAATCAGGACCTGCGCCAAGATTAGGGGATGTCTCATGCGGTTGGCTTGTTTTTGCCCCCAGACTTTTCTGTGTGGGCGGTCCAATGCTCACTGCGGTAAAGCAGGCGTTGCACTCGGGCACCCCAATGGGGGAGCCGCCAGGGGCGAGGACAATCCAGGGCCCGCGCCCAGATTCGAAGGATGTCGGAGGCGGTTTGCCTGTTCCTGCCCCCCCCAGAACTTGTTGTTTTGGTGGTCTAATGCCCACCGCGATATGGCAGGGGTGTCACTTGGGCACGCCAAGGCGGAGCCGCCAGGGATGGGGACACTTCAGGATTCGAGCCCAGATTGTGAAGATGTCACGAGCGGCTTGCCACTTTCTGCCTGGCAGACTTCTGTGGACTTGTGTGATTCCCGCTCACTAACTCATTCACCTCTTCCTGATTTTCCATGCGCGGCCGCACTGATTCGATTTCGGACTCACTCATCAGCACCTCTTCCTCTTTCAGACTCACTCGTCACAGTCACACTCACTCACACGCAGATAAAATCGTTCTCTAACCCACAGACTGACTCGCTCATACTCAGTATTACTCAAACTCAGACCCTCTCGCACCAGACCAGCTCACATTCAGACGCACTCACACTCAGACTCACCCACCCTCAGACTCACTCATACTCGGATCACCTCGCATCCGCGCTCACTCATACCCAGAGCTGTATTCTTTTCATTCAAGCTCAGACTCACCCACACTCAGACTCACTCTCATTCAGACCCACTGGCACTTTAATTCGCTCGCGCTCAGGCTCACTCATATTCAGTCAGGCCCACGCGAATTCAAACTGACTATATCCAGGCTCACTCACACCTTCGGCTCAATCGTATCCGGATCCACCCGCATTCCTACTCGTTCACAAATAGATTACCCACGCTCATACTCACTCGCACTAAGGCCCACACACAAGTAGCTACCGCGATCGCCGCGTGGCACTTGGGCACCCCAGATGCCAGCAGACGCCGCGAGTGGCACGCCAGACACCGGGCGTAGCAACGTCATGCGCGCTTGCTGCGGGGAGAACGGCAAGAGAAAGCATCCCTCGCTCTTCCATATGTGCTTCAGTCGTCTCTCCTGGAATATGCCCAGAGGAGGACGTCGCTGAAATCGTCGCTGTCGTCGTCGTTGCGCGCCTGTCTTCTACGCGGAGTGGCTCTCACACCCAAATGCTCATAGGCAGAGCTCCTCAGTATGACGTGTCGGGAGTATGATATGCACATATCGGGGTATCCGTGACGAGTATTTTCTGCAAGGGGAAAGCAGACGTTTCTTCTCAAGACCCGACGATCACCGCGATGTGGCATGTCTAGCAGTTGTGCCTCCCACGTAGAACCACGTAACGCCACACACATTGCTCCACATACATTGCGGCACATGTATTGCATCGCACAGGCTGCACCACATATATTATACCTCATATTTTTGCACCACGAAGATCACACCACACATATGCCTAGACACCTATTGTTTTGGGCCCGTGCAGTCTAACAGTTACGAGAAAGCTTTCTAGAGTTTGGAGTTGGTTCTCTCGGTATCATGGAATCCAGTTTGCCAGGTGTGGTCCAGGTCAATGCTGCGGTCCACGTTACGTTGTGAAATGTTTCGCTCAGCGTACGGGGCGTTATACCATCGTATGCTACGTTGTGCCATCCAGTGCATACTGTAATCTACTACGCCAAGATTCGCAATGCGGCCACCGTACCATTCTAGTCCAGGCTATGCAGCTGATAGTTGAGTAGCTGTGCAGTGATCCACCATGCGATGAAACACTATGTTTGTCTGCCGATGGTCTGCCTTGCTGTGCCGTAGCATACCATGAAACGTCATATAACAAAGATAATGTCTGAACTGGGGATCAGGCCACTTTCAGCATTCCCCTTCCACCCCCGCTCTCCAGCTGCTCCCTCCTGAATGGTTACCATGTTCCTCATCATCTTCCCTCCCTACCGGATGAATATACCCCCTCTTTCTACTCCCTTGCCTTTGCGTTCGTCCTTTTCGTTTTCACCGTTGCCACCCCCGCCTCCTCCTCCTCCTTCGCCGTTTCCTTGTCTGCTTCCGCCTCTGCCCGCCCTCCTACTCTTCTGCTCTGCTAGTTTCCGAATGCAGCTCCGTCCGCCCCATCCCACGAGACAAGCCTTTCGAATCGCCTGCTGGCGCCTCATTGGCCCACACGCACCGCGAGACAGTGTGGACTCCAGATCCTTTCGCACCTGCTCGGCTCGCATCAGAAGGCTGCGTGGGCCCCTGCACTGGCTGGATCTGGAGGGGGTGCCCAGAGGGAGGCCCCGGGGGCCCTCGGCGGCCGCAGGCGGCGCGAAGCAGGTCGGCCAGAGCCAGGACCGCCAGCTGAACTGCCTGGAGGAGCTCTGCGAAGAGCTGGGCAGCGAGAGCAACGGGTACTTCGAGGCGGCGCCGCGCCCGGCCTCCACCCTCTCGCTGCAGCAGCTTTCGAGCCATACCCCTGCTGCTGATCCAATTGGCGCTGGGTATCGGACACGCCCACTGGGGCTCGCTTGTCTGCAGATACCCTTCGAACTCTGAACCCCAGCGGGGGCGTGCCGGGAGCTTTCCTATCAGGGACCTTGGTATCGCTCGGACGTCTGCATATTGCCCTCGGCGAGGATCATCTTGGACCATCTCGCGAAACAGTGCACGCACGAGATCGAAAAATGCACGGGAATGCCGTCCGATCGATGGCGAGGGGAAGGCTCCACATAATATCGCGTGTACGGTTTCTTGTTCCTGGCCCTGGGCCAACGTTCGGGGGGCGTGCGCCGCTGGTCGGCCGGGCTTCCGCCCCCGCGCAGGGCCAGCCCCTCCGCCTGGCGGTTGCCAGAGCGCCTTCGGCCGGGGGGACCCTGGAGGCTATTATTCTTCAAACTCTGTCTGGTCTACTAGTATGGAGGGGGGGAGCGGGGCGTGGCGAGGCCCGAAAGGAACTGCACTTCACGCGGAGGGGGCGTGGGTGGGGGATGGCGAAGTGCCATGCAAGTACGGAGGGCCGGAAACACAAATGCGAGCCGAGCCTGGTTGTGTTGCGTGCTTTGGGCTTCTGGCAGTATTTGATGTGTCGGGCCGCGCTAGACTTGAAAAGGCCGGTGCGCGATAGTGGGGCTACCATCGGGTATTTGTTTTTGTGTTTGTGGTCGGGGCATATGCTCCGTGAGTGTTTTTTGCAGGGCCACGCGAGCGCGATTCTGCGCACAGTGATTCCAACCCTTAGTGTTTCCAGCCTCCCTGGGAGCCCTTACCAGCCTGGAGCAGATCCCTGCCCCCATGATTGGCATTACCCGATCTCGATGCCGATCTTGAGCATTCTCTAAGTCTCTGAGGGCGCATCCCAGAGATTGTCATCGCATTTTGGCCTGCCAATCTTTGGGGTGGAGGCTGACTGAACTGGCGTCAATATTTGGAGTCAATCTTCGGGGTCGAGGCTTGTCAATCGTTGGGGTCAATCTTTGGGGTCGAGGCATGTTGGGCCAAGGTCGAGGCCAGCTTAGCTGGCCAGTGCCTTCACAAAAAGCGCGGCCCAGGTCCTGCGGCGGCTGGCAAGCAGCAGGCCCACCAGTGCCCCGCGGGGCGCCTCGCCAGTCGCGGGCGGGCTGCCCGGGTTTTGCCTCGCCTCGCCTCGCCCCTCCTCCCCCCTTTGTTCATCAGGCGATCGCAAACATGGATCAAGGTGGCGTGGATTCGAGACGGGCCCTGTTTCCATGGGAAGTCGCGTATCATTGCCGCCGAGCGATGCGGCACCAGCCGCATTTTGGGGAGGGTACCTCCCCCGATCCACGGATGTGGCGACCGCGCGCCAAATCCATGGATCGCTAATCCATGTTTGCGCGCCCCCGAGTTGATTATCATTCAACCGATCCCTAACCCCATCTCCATCCCAATCTCGATCCCAACCATCCCACCCCCCCAGTTGGGGATGCACCCCTCGAAATTCGAAGGGGGCAGCCCATATCCCCATCCAGGGAGGGTGAATCGGCCAGTGAGTGGGGCGCAGGCCACGCCCGTAGGGATAGGGATCGGTTAAAAGATCTTCATGAGTGCCCGCTCCGCCCGCGCCCCTCGTCTCAAGCAGTGGCGAAGCGTTCTGGCTTGCCTCTCACCATTGACATGTTCTACGGACCGCTTGTGGTTAGCGCTAGTTATCTTGGAGCATTTCTGAACGAGACGGTGTTGTTTTAGTGCATTGGTTTCATGTTCCAAGAACATTGTTGTTGTTGCTGCTGCTGGAACAGCCTCTTGTTTTCAGAACATGTCGCTGTAGGCCTACAGGAATGCCGGGACGTGCGGTCCCTGTTTAACTTCGTGTCCGCTCTGCCCGCGTCCCTCGTCAGCCTCCCCCCCCCCTCCCCCCCGCCCCTGGCACGGCCGACCGCCACCCCGAGGCGCCGGCGAGTACAAATCCGACGCTGCGCGCGGATGTGCGCAGCCGGGGCGGTAGGGGTGGGGGGGGGGGCTCCTCCCAGGAGCGGCCTCCGCGTCATGCGCACCACCTGGCGAGGCTGGGGCGGCCGCATCCAGCCTCGCCCTGCGTCTCGTGACTGAGCAGCCTGAGCCTGGGCATCGCTGCGACGTGTGGACTTCGAGTTTTCTGCTCGTTTCTTCACGTGTCTGCGTGCTCGACTTGTGCCAATGCGAGCCGCTTTGCTTCTAGGGTGCTGCAGAGGAGGTCTCCTAGAGGGCTCCGGGGGGGCCTCCTCCTGCAGAGGGGAGGTGTCCTGGAGGCCTCCCTGAAGGTCTCCCCTGGACGTCCCGGAAGGCTGGGGGGCCTGAGGAAGCATCCTCTTCGCCGCGGCTGGTTAGCCGGTCGACAAGTTAAAAAAGCGCTTCCGAAATTTTAGAAAAAGGCAGGTTCTTGAGGAAGGACACGGGAGGAGGAGGAGGAGGAGGAGGAGGAGGAGGAGGAGGAGGAGGAGGAGGAGGAGAGAGGAGGAGGAGGAGGAGGAGGAGGAGGAGGAGAAGGTGGAGGAGGAGGCGGAGGAGGAGAGGAGAAGGAGAATTTGGGCATCGGCAGCGATGACGAGAGGGAGAGAGGGAGATAAATATAATGTGAGAGAGAGAGAGATTGAGATACCGAAATAACAAGAGATAGAGAGAGAGAGAAAGAGGGAAAGATGGAGAGAGAGAGAGAGAGAGAATCCTTCCATCGCCATGTGCTGTCGAGCGCAGACCCTCTCGATCGACGAGGAAGTGACCGAGCAGCAGCACCAGCACAAGCAGCTCGTAAGTGACACTGCCGCCCCGCATCCTGACCCCCGGGGGTCTCGTTTCCGGGGGCCTCAGAAAATGCCAAAAGTCGTTTTTCGACCCCCGAGTTGCAGGAGCAGCAGCAGGAGGACATCGGCCGTGACGCGGAGTGGCTGGTACCAGGGTGGGTGGGGGCTAGGGGGGAGGGGGTAATGTGGCGCCGCCAGGTCAGGGGCGGCTTCACGCTGGCGAGCGACGCGGGCCTTCAGGACTAGAGCCCGCTGCGGGAGGCGGGGGTCGGGGGCGAGGCCGCCCGGGAGAAGGCAGGCCGGCCACCAGCTCGGGCAGCTGATGGGTCCCTGCCACTGCCTTGGGGTGCCACCAGGCGCCGGTGTCCACAGCTCTCGCGAGGAGGCGGCCAGAAGCATTCCACACCCCTCCTCGAGAAGGCGGCTGGAGGCTTTCAGGGCTGGAGGTTGCCATTGCGATCTCACGGCGGGTCTCCCTTGGGCCTGCGCCGACTGTGCCAAGATGCCTCGACAGGCTAGCAGTGAGGGGCAGGGGAGAGCGAAGCAGCGGGCAGGATGGCGTGTTTGGTGGATGGGGTGCGGCCCAGCTGAGGGGCAACGCGTGGTGTGCTACAGGACCGGCTCTGTATTTGGAGCCACTCGAACCACTCGAGGACCGGGGGCCAGAGGAGGTCCTGGAGGAGGGGTGGGGGGGGTCTGCAGAGAAGGCCTCCGTGAGATTGAGAGCAAGGTTTGTGCGACCCCCGTGCAACCCCGATTTCAGTGTTTCAGTGGCGCGTCCCCCCCCCCCCCTGTTTGCTCGCCGGCCAATCCGCTAGTTGGTACCCCTGTCTAGCTTCTCGCTGGAGCGGAGTTCGCCGCCTCACCGCTGACGAAAAAAAGTTTCAGTGGCGCGCTCAACCGTCGCCAGCAGGTTCCCGTGGAGGCCTGAGGTTCGCTCAGTTGTGGTGTGGACACTGCGATTTCGGTCAAGACGTGCAGGAACAGTCTGACACACCACGGCCCCCTTCGTCCAGATGCAGGAATGGGGTGAGGGGGAAGGTTCGTCAATGGGAAAGAGTGGGGTTTGTAATGAGGGCAAGCGATAAAGAAAATGCCCCCCCCTTGTCCCAGGGGCCTCCTCAAAATGAATGAGTGGGGCAGACTAATAGAATTCAGCCGCCGGAAACTGCTTTTTCACTGTCTGCCCCCCTGGCGTTTTATTTTGCGGCCTTGCGGGAACTGACTTTCTGTTCGTCCTCCTGCGTTCGTTTGATCACCCACGGCCGCGGGAGGGGGATTGCGGAGAGGGGGCGCCGGAAGCGCCGCAAGGGAGTCCCATCGCAGATCCAGGATCCCACGGAGGACCGCCGTGGGACCTGATTTTCAGACCTCGCGGAGGGACGTGTAGAGGTCTCTCGAGGGTTCTCAGGGGGCTCTAAGGGAGGTTCAAGGGGTAGTTTGTTTGTATGAACGGACTCGCTAAGCCGCCTAAGCCCAGAGGGCTGGTGGAACCTGATTTTCAGACCTCGCGGAGGGACGTGTAGAGGGCTCGAGGGTTCTCAGGGGGCTTTAAGGGAGGTTCAGGGGGTTGTTTGTATGAACGGACTCGCTAAGCCGCCTAAGCCCAGAGGGCTGGTGGGACCCGATTTTCAGACCTCGCGGAGGGATGCGTAGCGGACCCTCGAGTGTTCTCCTGAGGCGGGGCCCTAGGGGAGGTTCAGGGGCCTGGATTCCTGGACCGCCCAGGGTGCTCGACGGTGCTCTGGGAGGAGCAGGAGGAGCAGGACGATGAGAAGGAGGGAAGGTGCATGAGGAGGAGGAGGAGGAGGAGGAGGAGGAGGAGGACATCATGGTGATGCTGACGCTGGTGATGATGATGCTGGTGATGCTGGTGCTGGTGGTGATGATGCTGACGATAATGATGCTGCTGATGATGATGATGATGCTGTTGATGGTGATGGTGATGGTGATGGTGATGATGATGATGATGATGATGATGATGATGATGATGATGGTGATGATGATGACGATGATGATGATGATGCTGATGCTGATGCTGATGCTGATGATGATGCTGATGATGATGATGATGATGATGATGATGATGATGGTGGTGGTGATGGTGGTGGTGGTGATGGTGATAGTGATGGTCATGGTGGTGGTGAGGAGGAGGAGGAGGAGGAGGAGGAGGAGGAGGAGGAGGATGCGGGAGAGAGAAAGAAGGAGTAGCATGAGCAGCAGCAGCAGCAGCAGGAAGGGTGCCCGATGAGAAGCCACGGGGCGCACCTGAAGGGGTGGATGTTTGGCGCCGGGGCGACCTCTCCCCTCCCTGTGCTTCGTCATCCTTATCCTCCTCTTCTTCGTGACCAGACCCCCCCCCCCCGCGTCGTAAAACATCGCGACAAAAGGTTGTAGGCTATTTCTGGCTTCTGGGAGCCCTTACCGAGCCCCAGCAAGTATAAGGCAGGGTCAAGCGCCGATCCCCAGGGAATGGATGGAGGAGAAAGGTGGCCAACCCCTTCCCGAATGGGAAGAAAGGGGTTCGAAGCGGAAACGCTCCAAACTTCCGCCCAGAGGGTTGGTGGGATTAGGAAGAGAAGGGAGCTGAATGTTCTGGTGGTCAGCCCCCCTGGAGGACCTGAACGCGAAGCTCGCGGGCTTGGATGAGGAAGGCCTCGATCACTTGCGCTCAAGGCGTCACTAGCGCGACCGCGGCGGGGCGATCTCTCCGCTTCTCTCCCAGGCGGTGCTCTCGTGCAACGAAGCCGAGTGATGTAGTGCGCTGCCTGGAGGCCAGAGATGGACAAGGTGGGGTCAACGAGAATTAGAGAAGTGCATGAATAGGCAGGAGCCCAGCCAGGAAATGAGCCCAGAAGGATTCCAACGTCTGACGACGTGATAACATCACAATGCCGTTACAAATCATGAGCGGAGCTCTCACCCCCACCTTTGTGCGGGATATTCCTGGCTGGGCCGATCCATGTGGGCCCCCAGGGCCCGCAATGGGGCAGAAAGGCTACCCGTATTCTTTCAAGGCGCCGCCGGATATCAGGGCCGTCTTGCTCTCTTCTCAAAGTCGTCGGTTCCAAGACTGTGGCGATGGGGGCCCCCGACGAAGCTCCCCGAAGTGCATAACCATGAGAATCCTTCATCCTCCTCCCCGGTAACTCCTTGCCTCATCTTGTGTTCGGCCCCGCCTCCGGCCCCTGCTTCCACTCGGCTTGGAACGGGCGGCGTGATTGTTAGAGGGCCTTGATCCTTCGATCCAGTCGCGACCAGAAGAAGGGAGCAAGACTAGAGGGTGCACGAGTCGGAGGAGGAGGAGGAGGAGGAGGAGGAGGAGGAGGATCGACAGTCGAGGGTCGAGCCTCGATGTTGTTCCCAGCCTTCCTGTGTGGTGGTTCCTCGTTTTAATCCGCGGCGCTAGGAGGAAGAACTTGGATAGAAGAAGGAGGTGGGCGAGAATAGAGTCCTTCGTCAGAGCAGCTATCGGCCACGACAGTTGGCGTTCCCGTCCCCCCACCAGCCCTGTCCAGAAAAGAATCCCAATTTAATTTACCGTGAGAAGGGAAGCGGGTGAGCACGGGTTGTGCCGTGTTTCGTCGCGCCTTGTTTCGTCGGGGCGGGTTTTTCGAGGAACGGTTGTGGCCAGCAAGTCAGTTACATACATCGCAGGGCGCATGATACGAGCGAACCGTTTTCTTATGCGACGTACACACACGTAGTCACGCACCACGTGCGGAGCCAGGTGCAGAAGTACGATATTGCGGCCGCCCGCGGCCACTGCTCAGCGGTGAGGGCCTGTGGCACCGAGCGCGAAGCGCACGAGTCGAGCATGGTGCCGCCCCGCAGGCTCAGCAGCCTGCTGCTCCTGCTGCTGCCGCTCCGCCCCCCCTCCCCCCACCCACCCACAGCCCCTCCCTCCCTCCACCATTCTTCTCCCATCACCCTCCCTCCCGTTCCTGCACCTCATAGCCCTCCCTCCCTCCCTCCCAAGGTGAACCCTTTTTCCGCTCACCCTCGATCTGGGCACGGGCGACGAGAGGGCTGCTTTGCGCACCGCGTCCTTCGGCCAGGGTGCGCGTGCGTGCGCGTGCTTTTTTTTGCGAAGCCACCAGAGGCATCATCCTCGCATCATCCTCATCCTCTCCTCGTCCTCCCCCCCTCGTCCTCCCCTCATCATCCTCTCCACCTTCGGCCAGGCTGCGCGTGGGTGTGCACGAGGACGTTGAGGTCACCAGCTACCACTGGGGTTGCAGCCTGCTCCGAGACCCAGAGCAGCTCGTGACGCAGGTCTTTACCTCTGTGTCGTCGCCTCAGCGCTTGGACAGAAGGTTTCATTGAGGCAGCCTCGGGCACCACGGCACCCTACACACGCATGCACATCCAGCCTGAGGTGATGCGAATCGGAGCGGGCGTCGTCAACACATTTGGGAGGGGGCGCTATCTTTCCTTTCTTCCACCAGTTGGTTTGTTGCATCCTCCTCCCGGAACCAGCGCTCCCTTGGTCTCTCTCTCTCTCTCTCTTTCGCGCTCTCTCTCTCTCTTTCTCTCTTACTCTCTCCGTCTCTGTCTCACTCGATCTTTATCTTCTCTCAGATCGAGAGAGAGATAGATAGAGAGAGAGAGAGAGAACGAGAGCAAACAAACGAACCCAATTACTCTGAACGAACGTCCCACATTGGCTCCACGAGTCCAGGCAGGAAGAGAGAGGGATGGAAGAAGGGAGGAAGTCGTCGTCTCCATCGCCGCCCTCCCCGAGCGCTCCTCTTTGGTGCTGTCCTCTCGTCCCCTTCCATGCAGCCGAGGTGCTCGGTGGCCCAATCCGGCAACGAGCCCGCCCTCTGGCAGCCCCTGGCGCGCCTCACGCTGGAGGCGCGCCTCCTCCCGATATCCGAGTGGTATGTGCGCGCCAGCGCGCCCTCTCGCTCCTCCCCGCTTCCCGCTTCGCGTCCGCCTCGTGCCACAATGATGATGATGACGATGAGGAGGAGGGGGAGGAGGGGGAGGGGGAAGAGGAGGAGGAGGAGGAGGAGGAGGAGGAGGAGGAGGAGGAGGAGGAGGAGGAGGAGGAGGAGGGGGAGGAGGGGGAGGAGGGAGGAGGAGGAGGAGGAGGAGGAGGAGGAGGAGGAGGAGGAGGAGGAGGAGGCGCGGGCATCGGGCTGCGCACTGCAGGGAGTCGCTTACCTCCTCGTCCTCCTCTACCTCCTCGTCCTCCTTTCCGTGCTCGTCCTGGTGCCCTGCGGGGCCTCTCCCACAGGCGCCAGGCTGCGCACTCCAGACATCGGCTGCAGGTGAGAGGGACCATCGCCGCTGTGAGTTTCGGTGTGCGGCGTTCGGGTGGGGGGGGGGCTCGGGGGGTCGGAGGTTGATAGACTTCCTGCCCTGACACGTCGATTAGCGAATTGGCTGTTTCCGGTTCGCGAGAGGGCGTCGTGGTGCGTCTCGGCCGTCATCTTTGCGGGTCCAGGTCCGTCGGTGTCGGTCCTAGGCCGTGTTCACACTAAAGGGTGGTTTACTGAAGGGAGGTTTATTCACCGCCGATATGTTGTTGTTGCTGCTGTTGTTGCTGTTGCTGTTGCTGTTGTTGTCGTTGTTGGTGTTATTGTCGTTGTTGTCGTTGCTGTTGTTGTTGTTGTTGTTGGTGGTGTTGTGATTGTTGTCGTTGTGGTTGTTGTTGTTATGGTTGTTGTTGTGCTTGTCGTTGTGGTTGTTGTTGTTGTTGTTGTTGCTGCTGCTGTTGTTGTTGTTGTTGCTGTTGTTGTTGTTGCTGTTGTTGTTGTTGAACATTATTACTTCTAAAGAATAATTATTGTTGGGACCCCTGGTGCACGACCCCCCTCCAAAACCTAGGCCGCAGCTACATTTTCATCATTTTTCTGCGAAAGCTTCAGAAAAGTGGATTGTCACCGGATCCGGTTTTTTGTTCCCCCCCGCTTTCCCTTGCAAAAAACACTATAAAATGAAATTTCTTGTTCAAATGTAATCAAATTTCAAGAATCCCTTGCAAAAAATAAGGTAAAGTGGACATTCGCGCGTGCAAGACGAAATCCTTCCAAAAGCTTAGTGTTCGGAGCGATTTCAACATAAAAACATCAAAAAACCAATGGTTTTTCAACAAAAAAATGTCAAAATCTCATCCCGCGCGCTCTTGCGGATTCGTAGGAAACCCAACACTTTTTAAACATTTCTGTCAAACGGGCTTTTGCGAGCAACTTTTTCGAACTTCTGCGACAACGGTTGCGCACCTGCCAGGGCCATCATCCCTGTCAAATAATACCATGCGGGACAGATTCGTTTTTTCTTCGCGCGCGCACGCCGAAATCTCCAAAAACCATTGGGTTCTTAAGAATTTTAGCACCGCGCATCATAAAATCACACGAATCGCACCGTAGGTCCTCGAAAAACAGCTGCACGACTTTTCAAAATTTCCACCCGCGCGCGCTGTCCGAATCCTAAAAAAAAACAATGGTTTTCCAACATTTATGTTACATGAGCTCGCGCGAGCTACTTTCGCACGCTCTTGCAACGGGGTTCGCGCGCCTGCCAGGGGCCATAATCCCTTGCGGTTGCGCCATAGGTTGCGCCCTCGGCCGCCGAGAATAAAACGCCCTCCTATTGGTTGCGCCATAGGTTGCGCCCTCGGCCGCCGAGAATAAAACGCTCCCTACTGGTTGCGCCATACGTTGCCCCAGGAGGCCTTCAAGAGGCCTCAAGAGCCCGCCGTGAGGACCCAATAAGCCCCCAAGAGGCCCCAATATGCTTCCAAGAAGCCCACCAAAGCTCAAGAGGACCCCAAGCGGCTCCAGGAGGCTTCCCCTCACCCCAAGAGGACCCCAAGCGGCCCCAGGAAGCCTCCGACTGATCACTGTCACATCCGTAGCCATCTCGGATCAAGGTATCGCCTGTGTTCTTGGCTGGGTCATGGCTTTGTCGGCGAAAACCCTTGACGACCAGTATGGCCCAGAGCTGTCGCGGCCTCCCTTGGCTGACTGCGGCAGCCCGTATTATTTGGTGTTGTGGTGGTGCAGGCCCGCACCTGCATCAGCCAGGCCCGCACCTGCATCAGCCAGGCAGCCGTGTACCCAAGCGTATTCGCGACGTCGCAGAGGACGAGTCGCCTTAGTATGCTTCGTGTATATTCATAGTGTGACTGGACCTGTTTGCGAAAGCAGGAGAAAGTATGAGCAATGCATGCGTCATCCTTGGGACTGTATAACAGCAGAAACAGACAACATTGCATCGCAGACGGACAGCCATCGGGACAACCATCGGGACAACCATCGGGACAACCATTTGGACAAGCATCGGGAAAACGATCGGGACAACCATAACCATCAGGACAACCATCGGGGCAACCATCGAGACAACCATCGGGACAACGATACCTTCTCTCTTGTGTCCTCCCACATCCCTCAGGAAGTTGCCCTAAAGATGTGACCGACTCCTCTCTCTCCTTCTCTATGTCTCTCGCTCTTTCTCTGCTTCATATCTATCATACGTAACACATCTACTTGTGTAATCGCCTTCCCAGGAAATTGCCCCAAAAATGTGACCAACTATCTTGGCAGTGCGTACCATCTCACGTGTACCGTGTACCACATCTTCTCAGGTTGCCTCACACATGTGACGAATCTCTTTCTATCTCTCTCTCCTCTGGCTCTCTGTCTTGCTCTCTCTCTCTCTCTCTCTGTCTCTCTGTCTTGCTCTCTCTCTCTCTGTCTTGCTCTCTCTATGTCATGCGCAACGAATGCACGATGCGGGGCACATGCGGGGCCCAAACAAGTGATCAACCTCTGCGGGTGTGTACTCCACGCCAGTGTAGTATCCACGATCGTCCGCGCGCCACGAAGTGAAGTGTCCTGACGTCATAGGGCGGGAAGCTGGGTGTGGGTGGTTCCCGAGAGTCGTGTGGATGTTTGGTAGAGCTTGCATTGCCCCCCCACGAAGTGGGGGTATTGGCTGGCGTCGCATGAAAACCCTGGCACTGGGGAGAACACTGAGCGTTCGGGTAAAATGATTGTTGTTGTTGTTGTTGCTGTTGTCGTTGTGGTTGTTGTTGTTGTCGTTGTGGTTGTTGCTGTTGCTGTTGTTGTTGCTGTTGCTGTTGTTGTCGGTGGTGTTGCTTACTGAAGAGAGGCTTGTCCACCGCCGGGAGGGGGGGGGCCGGACCCGAGCACGCGGGCCGCTGCTGGCGCATCGGGTGCAGCGGTCGGCAAGCCGCGCACCGAGCGCAACTCCTGCCGAGGAGGTTCGCTCCCTGTGTGCAGCCGGAGGGAATCACCTCCCTCCCCCACCATGTGTCAACGCACGCGTGGATGTAGTCCTGTGGGGGTACCTGTAGTCGGGGGGGGCGGTACCTGAGGGACACAGAGTACTCCTTGTCCTGTCTGTGCTCCATTGGAAAAAACAAAAAACAGCCGCATCAACATAGGCTTTCGGAGGTCCGCGTGGCGGCGGCCCCAGCGCCGCCACTGGCGGTACTGGTCTCCGCCTGGCGGCTCCAGCGCCGACCCAAGGCATCCGCTCGGTCCTTCGAAAGTGCAAGCTGATGTAGCTTTCCCATAGTGGGTGCTTGCATTGACTAGGTCTTTGTCGCGATAGACCGGGTCGGCGAAAGTGCTGGGCCGATTTCGGTCGGCGGGGCCGGGTTGCCAGGTTGCGGTCCGGGGATCCAGTGGACATTTGGTCCAAGAGCGGCACGGTTCGTGGGTTTCCACCAGCCTGGTCTCAAGTAGCGAGACAAAGTTGAAATCGCGTCGCGGGGAGCTTGCCCCCGCCCTCCAAAGCTGAAAGCAACGCATTGGGGAACACGGGTTGGGAGGGAGGCATTCAGCCAAGAGCCCAGCGCGCCCGTCAATTTTGAAGGAACCGCACAGCAAAGAGCACCCGATGCGCCTCCCAATGTGACAGAGGCCCCTCGACGATGACGCATTGTCAAAGCCACCCGGTGGCGTTGCGCTCTTGGCGACCAGACGTGGCCGCATGTACGTCTGACGTGCAGCCTTCCGCGCAGGCTACAGGACGCCGTGCCCACGCGCTCAACGGAAGGGCGGTGCAGGTAATCCGCGCCAAGTGGCCCTCTCCTGGCCCGCACCGCACCAGATGATCTCAGGTCATCGGCGTGAAGGAACGTTTTGTCTTCAATCTGAAAGCACAAGACGGCAATAAGCCTGACGCATCGGGTGCGCAAAAACAGAGGCGGGGCCACTTGGCGCTGTTTCTTGCCGCGCCTCCAGGAGGACAACGGGCGCATCTGGTGTAACACCAAATGCGGTTCGGGCGACTTTTGCAGGTTTCTCCAGATTGTCTCCCACAGGAGCGCTGGCGCGCCGCGCGAGGCGAAGCCACTGTCCGCGCGCCTGCGGCGAGCTTTCGCTTCGGGGCCACCCAGGCTCGCAGGTGCTGAACTTCGAGTGGCGTCCTGCACTGCGCAGCTCCAGGGCACTTGCTTCGGGGCGCTCTCAGGAAGCCTTCGCGAAGCATTGCGTTGCCCACCGCATTTCAGCGGCAACGGGCCTGGCGGCGGCAGACCGAAGAGCGAGCGGAAGTAACGATCAGCGACCACTGCAAATGGGTCCCTCAACAAAGAACGCCGCGTTGCGTTAATTGCGACCAGACTTGCAGTTGCGGGTTCTGGGGCGATTTCGGTGGGTGGTTCGTCTCCCAGGTTCGCACTTCCAGGGTTCTTGGCGTGTGATAGAGAGCGGAGTTGAGAAGAGGGAACACAGATCAGCGAGTAGAGAGCAGAGTTGAGCAAAGATCGTAGGGAGCAGAGGTAGAGACCGTTGCGGTTCGATTGGGTGTAAAAGCTCAGCTGAGTAGTATCTGAACGAGAAAAATAGAGAGGAAGAGGTAGGGAGACAGAGAGAGAG